AACGGAAGCAATATACTGTAATTGGTGTCCTTTAGAAACTAGCAGGAATCTTTGTTCCTAACGATGAAACCCTTTCTTTCCTTTATACAAGTTTTTATATGTGATTAGTAATTGTTAGTTTCAATGTATTTTTCTCTTCAGTTTGTTTCGTGGTGGGCCGAAATCATGTGAATCATTGACTGTTGTTTTGTACAATCGTGCGATCTGCATGTAAAAAGAAAAACGTAGCGCAGTCTCCACAGTCTCGGAACTGTCTAGCAAACGGCAGCCAGCTCAGCGGCGGAAATAGGAGCTCTTAAAGGGAGCCGCCTAAAACCCACTGGCTGAAATTTCCATTTCTTCGTGAATGGGCTCCCTGTTCAAGGTTTTTCGTTGAGAAAATCTCTCTACGAAGCCTCCGAGATCGGTCTTCCATGTAAAGTGTTCCTACTTTACGTGTGAAGATGCTTTGTGCCTCACAAGTCGGTATCAAGTGCTTTGAGCACCGTTTAATTTCACTTTTCATCGCTTTTCGGAATAATTGTGGGATATTTAACGATCTTACGTGGGTGATTCATTCTACCACGAACAGTTAGAGCTATAAAGAATCGAACTGTTAAAAAATTTTACTGTTTCATTTGCAACCACCTAATCGGAAAGTAATCTGACAATAATTTAAAAAGGATGTTTATTCTATGGTTATAAATTGTTTCTGTAGCGCGAAATTTCTATTTGTTTAGGATACGCGAGTTTTCTACGGTTTACCTTATCTCGAACGATAGCAGCGTCCACACTTGGACGCATCTGCGTCCGGCAATTGCATTCATATGATACGAACGTTTCTTGAAGAACAGTCGCTTTGAAAAACGATCCGCATCTCGCAACGGCCGCTTCTTCCTTAATTAACTCAATTAATGTTTAATTAAACTATCCCTAGTCATTGCAACAAAGTGCGATGCTATCGAATTCCATTTTTGAAACGTAGCTCGTTTACAGTGCAACGATTTTTATCTATTTCAACCAGGTAGACTCGTTAGTTAGAACCTAAAATAATTGGATTTTGTATCAAATAAAAATTTCTCTGTGTAATTAAAATAATAAAGCAACCGGAAGGGCTAGAAAAATAAAGATCATTCTTGGGTACGCAAAAGTTTTAGTTCCCTTTCAAAACCACAAAGGCGGGAATTTATTTGAATTTTAATATGTTCTACAGCAATTTTTGCACGCGATTTCCATGAAATCAATGGATCATTAAAATTTCACGCCGCGTGCCGTGGTTCTCACGCGATCGTTCCCGCGCCCAGGTGTTTTCCGAAAATATTTGAACGTAGCGTCTGCGCAGATATGTGCGCAGGCTAGCGCGCATGCGTGCGATCACGGAGTTCCCCGAATGCATCTTCCGAAACAACCCTCGTGAGATGCTCAGTGACGAGGCGCGCCGCGCTCCAGCCGGACGTTGTACTTTTTTTTCTTTTCTTATTATCGCGTGCATCCCTCCGAATTTCTCATTAAAATTTATACTTTCCCCTCGAATAAAAAGCATCTGTATTCAATATCAAGTGTCTTGATTTAGTCAAGCTGTCGCGTGCAGTTGGTACACAAATATTCGTGAATACTTCAAGATGACTCGTACGATATGTTCGTGTTGAAAATAAACTTTTAATATTGACAATCGTGGGAAAGAAATTGATAAAAATGAAAATAAAAGAGGAGAACCACTATGCAAAGCGAAGCATCGAATACTTCGGTAATATATCACTTTCATTAATACATTATACATAAATGATTCAGTTATTTAATTGCGATATTCAATCTGTTAAGAACCTTTTCAAAAGCATTGTGTTAATTAATTTAATTAAAGCTGATCATTTCTAAAGATTCTTCAGTTGCTGCTCTCACCGTGATCAATTAAGTAAAATTCCACTCGACCATAATGGGAACACCTTATTGTTTACAAATGTGCTCCAGTGTTCCATATAACGTTTTAGGGATGCGTTTAAAAATATCTGAAATCAGCATTCAACGACCAATTGAATTAAAAATGTTAATCAGTCACGATGACGTTGTTTCGCGTTAGCGTCGATGAAAAATGTATGATTAGCACCGATGAACATTGTTAATTAAAAAGCTATACTTGTAAACGAACCGTATTCGAAAGGGAACGTGCGTAAATCGGTGAATATATACGCAAACTCCCTTTCTGTTTGTTTCCGTACGAATTTTAACGAGAAACCATTCAGATGGACGAGGGATGAAAATCCAGGAATCCTGAGGTGATTATTTATAAAGCTCGTCCTTCGAGAATTCCACGACAGAAACATTTTCGTGCATTCGAAAAGAGCGTTGTCGTCCTGATGCACCCGATGCGCAGGATATGCAGTATGCTAATCGTATGCGAGGGTCTGTGCACCATACCGAATACAAATGGCACCCGGTTGCGGTTACCATCATCTTCGCACCATTCTAGTCTTTTATCCTCTCTCCTATTGCTTCGAGCAAACAGTCTTTGCTTACTTGAATTTTTAAATAAAATTATCCAAACTAGAATCTCTCAAACATTTTTTATTTTTTTTTATTTTTCAATAATCTTACAGTGGAATAGAACCAGAATAAGTAAATAACACGTGAAACTTTCTCTTTTTTCTTTTGTCAAAAGATATGCAACTTCGTCCAAGAATAAACGCCGCTCATCGGAGAATCGTGTCTTCCAAAACAAAACATAGTCGCCAGGAGTGGTTTCGAATTCAAAGCTCGTCCATCTTAATTATGGGCATCGTCTAATTTCTGAGTCCGTACGTGAAAACAATGACGCGAATCGAGCCAGGGAGTGGGGCGATTCGAATTCGACGATGGTCATTCCATGTTCAGTGGTGTCGAATCGACGGTCAGTCGTCGATGATAAATCAGAGGTGCAGTTTAATCCTCCGACACCTTGTTCCGCCACCCTTTAAACTTTGTTTCGCGACGATGAAAGAAAATGTGGATAGTAGGTGGTGAATCGGTTCATTCCGAGGGTGATAAAGTACCAGCAATTTTTAGTGCGAAAAACAGATCGTGAAAATGGTTGAAAAGTTTGTCCTGCAGAAAAATATGGCAAACACGTGCGAAACACCGCGTTCGCGGCGACGAAATAGACCGAACTTTTTGGATTTGTCCAACGTCACCAGTGAGTGTCTCTCGTTTTCTTTCTAATTTATCTATTCCTTTGACATTTTTTTATTATGTCTTGTTTTAATTAATCACTTCCTTAAAGGAGGTGGTTGTTTTCAACTGAAATGTTGGATGAATGAACATTCTTCATTTTGATTGACAAATTCAATGTTATTTTGTTAACTGAGGGCAATTCTGGGCTTTCAATGAACGAGAATAGAAAGTCTGTTTATACAAAGATATATTAAGAGCGCTAAATTAAATTATTCATGAAATTAACTGAATTTATCAAATTCCAAATGAAAGATAAAGCAGTTACGTTCTGTTAGCTTTTCTTGTATACCGTTTCGTGACACGATTGAAGTATACACGCTCGTCACATTACATTTTCCAAAAGCGTTCTCGTTATTGCGCTTCCTGTGGAGCAGGCCAGGATCGTGTTACGAACATATAACGGCCTAGCGACTTTAATCGTTCGCGACTATTAATTCAGTGGAAGACCGGATACGCCGAAAACGGAAGCCACGCGCGTCACGTAGCAAACGCAACAGCCGCTGCGCCAGGTCGATATATCGCATCCAAGTAGGGAAAGGAAGATTTTTCGATCCTAGACATTCGTTCATAATTGGAAAAAAAATTTCAAACGTTTCTACCGAAAAATCGATGACTTCACCGACTGACTCCGAAGAATGCACTCCAATTGTGAAGTCGTAAAGAACTCGCGATAAGATTACGCGTTCGAAGACATCCATTCACGTAAAAGTACAAATTGCCGGTTCTTTTTTCTTTCAAATCGTTATCATTCTCCATGTGGATATCGTAAAAAAGTTGAACCGATGTTCACCCCGATCTACGACCGGTTAACGTTTCCGTTTTGTTCTGCTTTTAGGATGGAAACCACGTGTTACGAACCCGGAAACGAACCCGCTTCACCGCCTCTAGTCTTCTTCTATTCTTAACGATCCGTTTATTTATCCGCGGTTTTCATGGAAAACCATGCGTACACGGACGAACGGGGTAGAAAAATGAAAGTTTACACCCCCTTTGCTTAGTTATTTTCGGATCTTCGTATACACCCTGAAGCGTTTACATTTTTCTATTTCACTATTGTAGTTTTACTACATATAATAATAAACGTTTTCCAGTTTCTTGTAAATTTTATTCTACAAGAATTTTTGTTAGAAATTTTTTTTCCTGGCGGAATCGATAACGCGTAGTTTATTAGGAGAAAAAAGTATAACTCTTTCCGGTTATTTTCGGCCGCAGGGATCGTGAACCCCGGTGTTTCCAGTCGGCTTCTGGTAGATATCGATATCGGTTGGCACAAAAGCCTCGTTGTGCGAGAAAGACCACAGTTATGGAAAACAAACGACCCCATTAATTATACCATTGTACAGCCGATAAACTTACAAGCGAGTGCAATGCATCGATACGAAAATCTTTAATCTTGTTTGTCGACGCGTTAATATTTTCATAGATCACCGTTTCCTCGCGTTTTATCCGGACATCTCCGTGGCTCGGTTTTCTCAAATAACGAGGAACAAACGCATTAGACGAGCATTATTTCATTAATCCCGTCGTGTCGGGGAAGAGTATTCTCGCGTGACTCGTGTCGCATTAAGCGAAATTGAACACGCCTGACCCACCAGGGAAAGAAAACTAAAGCAAGGTGTGTCCTGTTAATGCTTTAATAGCTCGCTGAAATTAAGCTTCCTATTAATTAAACCCTCTGTACACCTGCCCACTTCCATGAAACTCGACGTGACCTCTCTCTGTTTTTTACTATTATCAAATTCTAGCGTGACATCCAATGTGGTAAGCAAAAAAAATTATTTTATATTTGGAAATTGAAAATTTGAAAAATGTTTCAGGGTCCCGTTCAGCGACCGGGTTGTCCAAGCTCGACTCTCATCCCGAAGATGACGTACTCTTCGTGTCTAGCAAAGATAGTGAAATTTCGAGTCTATGGGTCAACTATCTCACGGCTTGTTTCGAACAGATCAGCAGACAGCAGGGCCGACCGCCTTTCAAGTAACAATTATAGATCGATATCGTGCTTACAAGTATGTATAATTTTACAAATAGCAATTTTCCTCGTTACAGAGTACGTCACCTCACAGTGGAAGAATGTATACCAGCCGGCGGTGAGGAGAGGATTCGATCTGCTCGTCTGCAGATCGTTGTCGTGTGTCCAGTACTCCTGGAACGGATACAAAGTCGTCCTGAACAAGCGACAAATCTATCCAGGCTACTGCTCCCAGACAAGGTCCTCGCGATGATGCTAGGTGTCCACGACAGCCACATCAACGACAGTCACAAGTCCATCCTGGTCTCGTATAATCAGTGGAGGAAATTCTTCGTGAAGGATCAGGATGAGACTTTCGTCGGTGAATTGTTAGGCGCGGCTGTTGGTATCCTTGGCACCAGCCCGCCTCCTGCGTTGAGAAGCGACAAAACAGCCTTCTCTGTGCATCCGAAAAAAGTTAAATTGGTAAAGATTCCTTCCTCGTCACCGAGGGTGAAAGATACTAATCATAATTCCCAAAAAAGATGTTTGACTATGAGATTAATGGATTTCAGGGTCACAACAAAATAATCGCCTTGCTGAACGACCCGCTGCGACCGGAGGACACGGTATCGGTGATCGTCGATCGGTGTGGCGAAGCGATCGATATCGCTCAAGTGAAAAGGAGAAATCCCTACGCCCTGCAGTTTTCCATTCCAGAGAGATGCCTAGACGTATCGATGTTGGTGGGCGTAAGGATATCTAAGAACGGTTGTCCGTTAGGTGTGAAGCAGGTCAAATGTGAGAGTAGGCTGAGGGAACTTGATCAGATCCTACGAGCCAACGACAATCCCTTACAATTCATGTGTCAGGTAAAGGATCCGTCAAGCCTTGCACAGCAGCCGACGATTATGAAACAGTTTAATTGTTATCAAGTTAATTCTTAATTGGCTCTGCAGACATTTGGCTTCAATCCGGGTGATCGCGAGCAGCTGGACAACTGGATGGTCCATGCGTTCCAACGAAACGTCCCACCGCATTTTAATCTTCTATCTGCGCCCACTGGCGTGGTTTCCAATCAAAGAGTCCACTCCAGTAAGTATATATTTTTTAACTTCTTGAAACATCTATATCATCCGGATTTTAATTTAAACATTCGCTTTACATTATTCACTGTTCTGTGCCGCTAGAAAGGATAGTCGGTAAGAACTCGAATGTCTTTACTGTCCTGATCGGTGCTCTCGTATCGTCTATTTAAATAACATAAGTTTATCTTAGGAAGTAAACAAGCTCTGTTTGATTCAGGCCCCGAAGATAACCCAACGTTGTTGCATTTTGCTGCTCGTTTTGGCCTGGAGAGATTAGCCTGGCAACTGCTCGAGTGTCCAGGTGGCGATTTAGCCTGCGATTTGAGGAACGTCTCAGAATTGACCCCTGCGGATCTCGCAGAACAGTCGGGACACGCGAGACTGGCGCATCAGCTTCGTGGCTACATGGTACAAAAACATCGCCTTTAAAGCGACGTCACAGTTAGTCCAATGGAACCGGTACTTCCGCGATATTTCTCTATTCCTATTTGCAACTGTCCCTTGGACAATCGTGCTTCTACTTTCGTCCATTGAATCCTATCAATTTAGCCTTCCGTTGTGGAAACATGATCTGCGCTTCACTTACAACTGCTTGTCATTATTTTTCCAGACGGACTTTCATTGAAACTTGATGTGTAACGTTAAAGTTATAAAAGGAGATAGTAGAGGAAATTGTTCATTGAAGTTTGCTAGGCTAAATATAGGTTTATTAGATGATGTTGGTAGAACTTTCAGTAAACTAACTGGTATCTTGCTTTTGCATTGCATGTTTCGGGCTGCACCTTGAATCCGCGGGTTCACAGCAAATGAACGAGTTCACCAACATGTACAGCTACCTGAAAGTGATCAGTGAGACGACGACAGACCAAGCAGCAAGTGAGTGTTTTTCGTAATATTTCAAAAAGACCGGCATTTCCAGAAAGACACGCGGCGCCATCTACTGTTTGTTTCGTGCTAAAAATGAGCTTTTTCATTTCGTCAATAGGGAGCGCAAAAATTACGCCGACTTGTAGTTCTCCTCGTCGACAACAGAGAACGCCAAAAACGCCAAAAACGCCATTGCGGGAATTTATTTGAATTTAAAATCGAACTTGAATAATTTGTAGGTGCGGACCCATCAACGACTAACCCAACGAACGACACCAACAACGACAAAGAAGATTATTGTCGTCCACGACCTTTGAGCGAAGCTTATTCGGTACCACCAGCCGCAAGACCGATAACATCTTTAATCTTACCAGGACAATTACCAGTAACCCCCAGCCCAAACGCTAGTAATCCCCTAGAAGCAAATTACTCGATTGTCCCAGCTCCAACCCCCGTCGTCGTCAGTCCATCGACGCCGACACCGACGACGACCATTGCGAATGGCCTTGAACTACCTCTTCAAGGTTATATGAAAATGCATCCAGCTGGTACGTGGTGACTCACACTTCTTCAACATTTATTTCGACAATTCTTCCGTCTAAAAATTTCCATTTTTTGGTTCTTTCGATTCAAAATTCAGTAATCTTAAACCACTTAATTTAACTTTAAAGGGTCCAAAACGCCCACGTCGAATGTAGCGAGTCAACAACCATCTCGTACAGCGACGCCCACGCAAAATCGTCCAGATTCTCACTCCCTGAATACTCGAGAGGAAAACAGTCAATCTTCGTGCTATTATGGCAGAGCAGCCTCGAATTTCAGCACGAAGTCGAGGGAACCTTCCGGTCCTCAGGACGAGCTTCTTGAGATTATAAACGACTTCAAAAACAATGTGTTCACGATCACCGAGGTGGAGAGACTGGTAGAGAACTGGAGGAACCGCAACGACGTTCAACAAAGCTTCAAAGATAAACAGAGACAATTGAACGCGATGAGGGAAGAATATGAAAGGATACAAAAGAAACTGAAGGAAGAGATGAAAGCCCCTACGCCTTTTGATAGGATTCGAAAATTCTTTTCTAAAGGAAAGAAAGGTGATTAAAACGAGATATATATCCTATGGATATACATACATATTTAATAAAGGCTATAATTCTTTATGGTTTAATGCGTTTATAGATTCAAAAGATTCTGCAAATGGAAGCGATGATTCGTCTTTAGCTACCAAAACGGAAAATGTTAATGGTGGATTAGCAGATCGCAGACCAGTTAGCAGTTTGAGTCTTCGTAGCGTTTCGAGTATGAACTTCTCTATTAATATTCATTTTCTACTCCTCGGATTACGTTATGAAATCTTACGTGAAATAACATAAAATTATTTATTATCCTTTTATTTTTCTAGGCTCGTCTTCGTCTGGTAGAATGAGTACTGCCAGTGGGTGCAGTGGAACCAGTCTAGGCGACAGTGGAACTCATTCTGATACCGAAGATCGAAGAGTTAGTATCTTTCAGAAATTCCATCATCCCTTAACAAGAATCGAAACTTGAAGGCGTTTTCTTAAATAAAAGAAATTATTTCAGCTTCAAAATGCCAGAGAAGACAAGGGTGGTATAATGTCGTACGAAATACCACCTGCTCCAAAACCCTTCACCGGAAGATATTCACCTGCTCTCAGGTACTCTCCATCCCCTCGATCCTCGACCGGCAACGATCTTGACCTTAGACCGTCGCACCCCCCGTCAAGAATAGAAGACAATGAGTATTACATCGCCTTTCCACCCTCAGGATTACCTATTCACTGTAAATCATAATACACATTTAAAATCTTCTCTTAAATAACCTCTGGTCGTCTTATCAATAGGAAACTAATGAAGAAAAATTAATTACTCAACAGCTTTCAAAACAGACGGTTCTCTGAAGGAACCGAAAACACCAAGCTCCCCCTGTGACCACCCAAGGTATCTAGACATGATCCAAAACTCATCTCCAGCGACGGACAATCCAGAGTCAGAAATCCCTAAACACCCTGGGAACAGTTACGCGAATATCGAGCCATCCACGTTGAACTCGGCACCTGTGCCCCCTCCAGGCATGTGCATTCCCACGAATTACATGAACGTGGTGCCAGCATCCGTTACCACGTTCCAGGAACCCGTTCAAGAACAGCAGACCGAGCAGAACCACTCACCAGACTCGGGTCACGCTTCTGAATCATCGAAAAAGTCGTCCAAGGTGGAGACCCCCACTCGGCCAGAACAAGAAAAGGTCATTCATGGTCAGGGTCAACACATGGACGACGTTCGAGGTAAAGGAAACGAAGAATACGTGGAAACAGATTCCGTGAATGGTTTAGAAGGCGTAGATGTACCGGATTCTTGCAAAATGCCGGAATATATGAATGTGGAGGTGTCTCAGGATCTCAAGGCTGGCGGTGTTAAAAAGACACCAGCACCTCCTGTACCACCACGAGGTAGGATAATTTCCCATGTTTTTAAGCAACATTCTCGACGCAAGGTTTCTTAACATTCTTCGCAAGCTAATCATTTTACCTGGGGCAATCACGAAGATTGGTTACTTAATCGAACTTTCATTCGTTCAATTACCTTAAACGGAATCAATAATGCAATCTTTTCGCTGTAACCCGAGTCACTTTACATTTAAGGGTTGACTGCTGACTCCATAGTTATCTAAGAGGAAAGTGAATCACAATTTTATAAAACCGATGTTTCATTTTTCTGTTACAGCCTCCACAAAGAAGTAGAAGAAAAGCTACAAATACAATTTCTTTTTTTTTTTTTAATCTTAGCTGGCTCGATCGTTCAAAGAAAGTGCCCTCGACGACTGTTTTCCATATAAGTAGTATTCAAGTGTCGTTTGAAGCAGTCAAACAGCGTAAATATTCTTCATAATCGTAGTATTAGTAGCATATTTAAATGTACATCATTCGTGTCGCTTAAAGAAACATGAATATCGTAGTCCTCTCTTTTTACTTGAATACTCGATGAGAAGTGACTTAATCTGTAGAGAATTGTTTTTTTATGTTAATACGCGGATACTTGTGTTAGTACTAGAGTACACTTCCACTCCTTATTGTATTTTAAAATTGCCTCGAATGCAAAAATAAGAAGGTTCAAGGATTCTTGATTCTTTATTTAAAATTTTTATTGTTTTTAATTCATACATTATTCCCATTTTATATCGTCTTGCTACAATAAAATTTTAATTTAGATCATCTGAACTGATAACGCATTCGAGGCTCTTTAATTACGCCACTAAGTTGTATATTAATTAAATAATGCTCGAATCTCGAGCTAATGAAAAATACAATGCTAGCGAGCGCCAAATCAAAGTTTCATCGTTTGGCAAAATGCCAACGCAACAAAAAATATGTACATATTATTGTCTACTCTGATTTTTATAATTATTGTAATCCATTAATCGCATTCTTAATCCAATTTAGCGATACTATTATTATTAATGAAAAAAAAAACAAGATTTCTTTCATCGACGTCGAAGAGAGTGTTAAACGAAAGCTGGCGTCGCATGATCATTTTATTCTATATTCTATAATTGTTTATTAATATAAACAATATTTTGTACAGGCGTCAAATTGTTTCTATAAGGACGTGCAAGAAGTACCAAGGATGCATTTATCATTTCAATTGTAACGCGTTACTCTAGCCGTTTTACATTATAATCCTCCTTTTTTTTACCTACTTTTTATATTTATGTCTACAGTAATAAATGTGAAGGTAAAATACGACAGTCGTTCGAATTCGAATTTCGGCTGGGATTATTTCGAAAACTTGGAAACCACGAAAAACCCGTCGTCCTCGAAAATCGTCAGTTACAATTTTAATTACTACTAAATAATAATTAATACTCGTGCGCAAACTGATACAGGTATCGGTTTATACGGATTCTTGTTAGACATTTATAGAGACGTAAAGATATCTGTGACTGACGTGAGTTCTACTGAAAATTGAAGGATCATTTTACAAAACAATGACACCATATGATTCGAAGCATTTTTAGCACAGCAAACGATGCATCGTTAAACGAAATGTGATGTCACGTTCATTTGCGTAGAAGCAGTTGCATTTTTGAATAAAACATAGGATCGGATACTCATCGGCAGTACTGAATTACCTGTTACAGTGTCCGCATCGGTGATAGGAAAATCCAGTCACTCTCATCCTGGAAAGCTTTCGATTTCTTGTTTCCAACAAGAAAGGTACATACCCGTTCTTTAATTCAAAAGGCTTTTATTGCATTAATTGTAAACCATCTAAATACAAATACAACAATTTTTTAAGTGACCGTTAAATTGAGATCATGAAAGAAGAGATGAAATTCGATAAGGCGATCCGGAAATCGTCCAGACTGCAAACACCCACGCATTTCTTTCCCCTAGTTTCGAAGAAACCGCTATCTTTCTTCCGCTCGATTTAGATTTCTCGTTAATTGGATTTGCCTGGCTAATTATCGTTGCGGTTCGACATCCGAGTTAGGACTAACGATCTCTGATCTCCGTTACGCGCGAACCACGTGCTGCGCGAATTTATTAAGTGGGGTTCGATGCTATATAGGAGGGAAATTCTTTTCTCTTCGGCAAAACGAAAAAACTGTCGATGAACAATTTCTTCTTCTTCTTCTTCTTCGTCTTGAATTTCATCGTCGTCGATTTGTCGCACGTAAGATGTATTTTCTTCCTTATAAAGTGAACCAAAACATTTCAATACATTATCAAAATAGTGTTGCTTGAAATTTTCACCCTGTTCATCTTAAAAACAGTGATAAAGAAGAATTAATAAACTCCAATAAAAGTTACGAATGTGAAGTCAAATCTTGTGTTCTTTGTTTTCAGCTGTATTAACAATTGAAAAATGAAGTTACTCCTAGCGATCTTTGTATTAACATTAGCTTCAACTAGAACTCTTGGTCAGTCCAGGTATGTTGTACCACAATTAATATTTTTATCCTGTCTAACTAATATTATATTTTCAGGTATGAACCATTTGCTGAGAAACCAGGTTCCTGTCCACCAGCATTGCCAGTGCAAATTTGTAGTCAATCTTGCTTCTCTGATTCTCATTGTTTAGGAATTGGCAAGTGTTGTCCCACCAACTGTGGAGGCTTTGTTTGTTCCAAACCTGTAACTATGAGACAACCAATTTCAAAAGGTATGAAAAAAAAAAAGCAAATTTTATAAAACAACTGAAATCTAGATTACACTTGATATTCAAACAGAGAAACCAGGCTCTTGCCCAGCAGTACCAAAAGGAAGATGGGTATGTTCACCAACCTGCAGTGTTGACAGTGATTGCAGAGGAACATTGAAATGTTGCAAAAATCGTTGTGGTGCTCTGGCTTGTCAAAAACCAGACATTGAGATAGTTGAATCCTTGGAAATTCCAGTTGTTCCATTACCAGAAGAGTCTTTCAATGTACCTAGAAATCCTTACTTAAATTATCCTAGGGACCCAAGTTCTTATCCTTATTACTTTTACAACAATAATTAATTAAAATTATCATAAAAGATAAGGATTTCATTAATCTCTATCACGTTCAAATTTACTATGTATTTACCTGTGCCATACTTTTGATTCATATTATGTGTCAGTGTATATATTTACTATATAATGTAATACCATACAACGTTTAATAATAAATTATGAATTACAAATTGAATGAATTAAACAAAAATTGATGTGTAAAAAACAATAGCAGAATTTAAATTTCACGCATGCGTTCGTAAAATGTAATTTACGTGCGATTCCGTGAAATTTTTCATTGACTATTTCTTGGAAGTAATTTCGTTGGCGAATGTTCTTACGTAATGGATTACCTCATTAACCTATTAAACTACATTTACATAGAACCTTGAATGATACGATGGTACATTCACAGATAGAAAACAGTGAAATGGGTACAACAAGAAATTTTAAATTCGTTTACAGAAATTATTAATATTGTGGATTGTAGACGGTCAGGTTGTAACATTATTTACTGTCCAATTCTATTCCTAGCGACAATTTTTCATAAAATAATTTTACGTTAAACGGTATGTACTCAAATCTGAAGACTGCATGAGTCATATTCAATGTACATACGTACTACATATCCTATTGAAATACCCAAGTGCAATATTCCTCGAATACTCGTTTGAATCATAACGAGAAAACATTTCGATAATGACTATTAAACCGCTTATAAAACGAAATGGTATAGAGGATTGTCGGAAACTTGTTGAATCAGCCGATCGTCCAGCTTCCTCTACCGTTCACGACAAATAAGTTACCTATCGCTCTCAAGATAGAGGTGGAAATGAACGAGAGGACATAGATGACCTGGCAAAAGAAGAGAGACAGAGTGAAAAAGGAGAGATTTAAGAAGCTGCGTTGTTATCGTGCATCAATTGGACGTGGTTCATCTGCCAGTTGAACAATTCTGGTGGTCTAAAAAGAAGAAAAAGCATCGTATGAGGTTCTTGACAAATGGAAATGCATAGTACGTATACTTATAAAAACCGATTTCTTTCTTTTCTCATATGTAACACGTTTTTATTCAAGAATTTTATTCATCTTTTAAAAACTATAAAAATTTGTCAACTGTTTTATGAATTTCACAATTACGGTTTAAGTGTGAGTAACTTATTATTTTGTACAATAGAAAGAGGGACCATTTTTGCACTGACGGTGTGTTTGTTGATTGCCGCAGCAGTCGCGCAGCTGTCTTGTAAGTTAATTAATCATTCGAACATATCTATCTATATATATATCATATGATACGAACTTACTGATATTTATAATTCGTTATCAAGTCATTCATTCGCGTGCACGCGACAAAGACCTACATATAAACAAAAGACACATTCCTTTTATCGATACGGATTAAATGCTTATCAGGTTCACATATTTTTGCTAAATCAAGATTTTTATTGTATATTTTACCTTTAAAAAGTTGTGCAAGTTCCCACGCACTCAGGTAGAATACGACAAAACGAAAAGTATTGTCAAGGACTCGGCCTTTCATAATGCATCCCATATTTACGATCACGTTATCACACGAGTCATGCCATTTTTCATTGCGATTTATCGGTTGATATCGTAACTTGTATTGTAAAATGTGGTCCGAGCTGTAACTATGTTCCACAAATTCCTAATTTATTTAATACAAATGACGAATTAAATACGCTATAATGATTAGTACTTACGTGCATACCGTTCATTTGTTTTAGTCAAAGGTGGTCATTGCCCATTGAAGGACAGCGTGTCGAAATGTTTTCCTAGATGCGTTTCGGATTTTCAATGCTCCTTTAATGAAAAATGTTGCCCAAATAAATGCCGCACTGAATCGTGCGTACAGGCTAGTCTGATAAATACTGGTAGTGGATACAAAGGGTCACAAAATGGTAAAAAACGTGATATTTTCTTAAGATTAAGATTCAAATAATTTGAAAACACTTTACATTTCAGATGGCGTTTATTGCGCAGGCGTGAAATGTGGTCCATATCAAAAATGTCAATTCGATCGTAAAACTAAACGCGAAAAATGCGTTCGTACATAAGTGAATTTTCGACTGCATCCGTTAATTTCAATAAAGCATGTTTTAATAATATCAGTTGTAATTTATTGAATAAATTTTAAATTGAACTTAAATGGAACTCGAATTGCGAGTTGTAGCGATAACAACCTGTTGAAAAAGTCGACAATCGACAATCGAATGTGCTACTCTAATCGATATTTCTGCATAACCTTTTTATTATTCACAATTATTCAATAAAAGGCGTACCAAGGCGTACCATCAACAAAAAGTTTATTGTAATTAGTTTTTTTTAAATAAATACGAAGTGATGCGAAAGTGAAGTCACTTTATTTTGAATGTTCTTCGACAAAATGACATTTGATCAAATTTAATATCTTGTCATAAAAGTACACTTTTTTTTAATAGCAAAAGGAAAGGTTAGATTTATGCCGATCTTACGATGGCAGTAGAATTTTTAGTAAATCGATTTAAAGCCCTTATCGTGATTCTCTTGGGAATATTTAAACGGGCAATGTGTTGTCTTCGACGTCGACGAAGATCGTCCTGTGATTCAATTCCTTTATCTGTTGTCGGCGTAGTGCCGAATACTTCAAATAACCCAACAGTGAGTTTTAATCACTTTAATCATCATCTTTAATATTTTATAACGAGTTTATGATTATGTAAACCCTGTTGTACCATTGACTTCGATAATAGTAATCACTGAAGATGCTTGCTCAAGGAATCAGAGCAGTGGGATCAATGGGAGGAAAATCCTATTGTAGTCATACCAAATAAGCCAGTTAATGCGATACAAGCTAAGATTGACCAGTACCGACAGCAAGCATCTAAACCACCAGAAGTAACCGAAGAGCAGCAACAAAATTTCTTTGAAGTAATTATTTCTAATGTTTTAATAACATTGGGTATGCGTTTAACTTTTGTTTATTATTTTAGGACATGACACCAAAGATTACTGCACAGACAAAGATTCTAGTTAAGGATAAAGCATCAGAAAATGCATTGTGGAATTCCTCAAGATTAGCAGTTGCTAATAATCCTCTGCCATCTGTAAGTTTAAATATTGTAAATAATTTTAATACTATGAATAAGATTTTGAAACATAAAGTTAATACCCAGAAGGAACTAGAAGAATGGGAAGATAATGCTGTTGGTTGGGAAGAAGAAACGGTCAAAGAATTTGGAGACCCTACAAAAGCTTTAAGAGAACAGAAGCGAAGGGAAAGAGAACAACGGCTGTTTGAACAACAACAGAAAAGAACTGAACGCAATTCGAGACCACAACCATTAGGAGCGAAACTAAATTCTCGATGAACAAGAACGAGTTTGTAAAAATTTATATTTATCGTCGCCATGTGACGTCGTTTATATATGAAAACGTTTTTAAAATCGCGTAGTATATTGATTAAACTGGGAGAAAATCAAAGGAAAGCATTATTTATAAGTTATTATTGTGTTCCTATAAAATTTGTCGAATTGTATTACGTGTCGAGAAACAAGTTGGGGAGCATTTTGCTTAAAAAGTTAAATGTTATATTTTAAGCTGTTTATTAATTATTAATACACTGCATTTAACTTACTGTTTCAGTTAGACTGAATAGCATTTAATATTGTGGAAGACATTGAACTTATTAAAGAATATATGTTGAAAACATTCCATGTATATAATGTTGTAACACTATTTAAACTCTTTGTTTCTTTTACAGGCAGACCATTGCTTTTTTAATGAAAAATCATAATCCTTCTAAAACACTGGAGTGTCTAAGTGCTTTTATTTGATACTTAGCATTTTTACAAGCATTAATTCATTTATGTAATTACATATTTACGAATTCGAAGAAATTCAAGATAAATCATAATTCTAAATAATGAATAATTATATGATTTATAAAAACCACGATCAAAAAGATAGTTTGTAATGAACCGAACGAGAATCATTAATGTTCAATAGATAATTCTATTTGTAAAATATTATTTATACGAAATCGTTGGAGTGTGTGGATATTAGTACAGAGAAAATGATAAATATTTTTTTAACACATACAATTTTTCATACTTCGTACGTTGATAAAATATATACAAGCGAACCTCTCCCTGTTCATGGCCAGATAAGGCTGGAGCGAAAAAGATAAGGACGAGCGAAAACTATAAAGGATAGTTCAATACCATTTCCCCCGTACAACCGTATATTCTATTTTTGTGTTTATCCAACGTTTTAAAACCCTCGCGAATTGATTACATTAATAAAAGATTGAGCGCATCGAGTGTATAAACAGAGAATTGTAAGTATATAAGTACTGTTACTAAAAATTTTATTAAAATTACTTATTCCATTTCTATTAAGAAAATGAAATAGAGCGTTCGACAAATTACATTATTAAATGCATCCTATTCTACGTGCGCTACATTTGACGTACTATAATTATAAATGAAAATTAGAGCGATAACTGGTTAAAAATCATTGAATGAAAAACTTTCCCTTTTTTAAATTACATACACGACAAGCGAATAAAACGTATGCATATGTTTACATGACAAATAAAAAAGTAAAATGAGCTGTAAATAAATACATATACATATACGGTGACGTGTGATAGATCTACGCTACGATTGGAGTGTAGCTAACTTCAGACACTTGTTAGGTGTATTACTGTAAAAGAAAAAATGGAAAAGCTGGTTTGACGGAAAACGTTTTACGGAAAGTCCGATGATCCATTTTGAGGGTTATCGGTTAACTCCACGAGCCCCTTTTAAGAATTATTTCTTGATGACGGCGAGGTTGGTGATCGAAAAACGCGCGATTGTCCAATGCTTCTCACCTTCACCCTTAACAACATATGCAAATTCGAAATGTCAACAACAGAAGGTGAGCTGTTTCTCAAACTGATGTATAACAATAGGTTTAACATGCTATTTTTAATCTCTCGTTTGGTTTATACTTGTGTTAAATGATAACCATTAACCTTCTTCGTGAAACGTTTGTTCGTTCTCCTGAAAAATTTTCGAATAGATGACACTTATACATATACATAGGACGATACGATTCTTGATATGGGTAACAGTAAGCATATAAACACAGAAAAAACATTATACTATTTATATGCGTTTAAATTTTTTCTAAACATTTATTCAACGTTTACGTCTAAAATGTACACATTTCCCTTGACGGTAACAAAGAAAAGATATCGCTTTATTTTTTTTTTCGGAAAAATATAGTACTTGTCGATCATATGGTAGAAACGGTGATACATATATTCTTAACGATATAGATAAAACGATCCCCTTTAACATAAAAAATTCATCGAACCAGTTGATATCCAGACATTGCGGTTTATTTTTGTCGTTGAAATCTGATGTGTGACAAAAGTTCTGTGTGCTCGACAAACGTATGAAACAATAGTAACTAAAATTTTTGTAATACGAGGTTACCAAATTTCTCTTTCAGACAGAACACACTCTTATCTAAACACGATGCATTGCGTGATAAAAGCCGTTTTCGACGAAACTTGTTTCATATGAATCACTTGTGATATACATCAGTTCTGGGATAATGTAAGAAGGATCAAGTTTATGTGATAAATAGCTATCTATTTTTATGGTAAATTGCAACACAAAACTGTAACAATGGGTTCAATAGCCTTGGAAGAATATGAGTTAATGAAAGACTCTAAATATAGAGTGTAAGTAAAATACTTTTATTTATTTATGTATCTGTTCAAGTTTTATTGCATTGTATAAAATGAAATATTTTATATTTTTATACAGCTATGTGTCTGCTGTTGATAAAGCTCTAAAGAGCTTTGAATATACCAGCGAATGGGCAGATTTAATTTCTGCTCTTGGAAAATTAAACAAGGTGTTACTAAGTCATATGAAGTTTCCAGTTATTCCTAGAAGAATTAAGATATCTAAAAGATTAGCACAGTGTATGCATCCAGCTTTGCCATCCGGTGTTCATTTAAAAGCTCTAGAAACTTATGACATTATTTTTAAATGTATGGGCACTAACAGACTGAGTCATGAACTCTTTATATACAGTGCTGGTAAAATAAAATATATATTAATGATATTATAAAATGAAGTTAACTTATTGTGCTAATAGTATACATTAATTAACTTAATTCTTTTTTATAGGTCTATTTCCATTGTTAGGTCATGCTGCTATGAATGTAAGACCATCCTTATTAACAGTATACGAAACACATTTTGTCCCTCTTGGAGAGAGATTGAGGCCTGGTTTAAGCGGATTTCTGAGCGGTGTTCTTCTTGGTTTAGAAGATGGTTCTGACCATTTTGATAGGTATTATTTATACCAAATAAAAGTTAAATGAAATAAATAAATTTCTTGTAAAACTTTAATAATATTTTTAGAACCAATTCTTTACTTGAGAAAGTTTGCGAAGGAGTAGGTCCAGAACATTTCTATGCATGTTTATGGGATTGTTTAGCTTCAAATTCCGGAATCCGGCTACCCGCTATATCATTTGTATTAGTACATTTCAATAAAAAACTGCCAATGGAAGAACAGAAATACATAATGGGCACAGACACTAATATTATGGTAAATATGTATAATTTGCTTTATATAAAATAAAATGAAGTACTACTTTTATTTTATTAATAGACAATATTGTGTATCAGGTAACTGCTCTTTGTGCTGGAGTACAAGACAGTTCTGTGTTAGTACAAAGAAGCGCTTTGGATTTGCTATTAGTTGGGTTTCCTGTACATAATAGTCAATTAATATACAAGCAAATGGTATCACTAGTCACAGCTGCTCTTGTCACTATATTAAGAAGAGATATGAGTTTGAATAGGTAAAATAAAGAAAATATAAAGACATGTACGAACTTTTTTTTACTTAAATGTTTTATAAATAAAATTAACATATGTAATAGGCGATTATTTGCGTGGCTTCTGGGTACTGAAGTAAGCACTTCTATTTTGAAAAGGAAAACGCATGCAACAGTTTCAGAAAACACAGAAAATACACCCACTTATTTCGACATGTATTCAAAAGAAATGTTGGTTGAAGCAATAAAATCATTGTTGAAAACTGTATGCGAGGAAAGTCCACAAGATTTGAAACCATACAGAATATTAGTTTCGTTGTTAGAAAAAGTAGATATCGGTCCAGTAATTTTGGATGATATTTTATGTGAAGTTTTTAGGTAAGATGCATCTTAAGAGAAAATATACTCAATTGGTAATAATTCATCGGTATTCTAAAGATATTAATAATGTTCATTCAACAGGACATTTTATAATGCTTGTGGACAGTCGAACAGAGTACCAAAGACGAACGAAGTGGTAAAGTCAGCAAATTTATTATTTTCAACTTTGGAACCATCTTACGTTTGGATACATTGCGGACATCTGTTTGAAAAAGCTTGTCAAACTCGGGCTAGAACAAAACACGAGGTAGAGGAAGTGGTTGTAAGACCTGTGGGTAGTGGAATGCCAAATTTCATGGAAGTCTGTATATTAACGGAATTCTTACTCGACACGGTGTCGTTGGATGCATTTATAGATACTCCATCGGAGCATCTACCCGGTTTATTTTATGAAATCATCAATAAAATTATGTTGCACATCGATATTCTGTCTCCTATGGAGATTTCAAGAAGTCTTAAATTGTGCGCTAAGATTTTATCGAAGGTCCAACCAACGGTGGTTTCAACTCACACAGACAAAAATGAGTTAGAAACAAAATTGGATGCAACCACGAATGGCAATTCTGCCACAGCATTTAGCGACAATTCTTTGACTGCTATCCCTTTGGAAAAGAGTCAATCCGATAGTAAATTAAATAAACCCGATACTTCAAGCGGTTCGTTTTCCGAAAAGAGTCCGAGTCCTAGGAGAAGAGCAAACTCGGGAGGTGCTACCAAAAGATCTGATAAAAAGTCGAAAAAGAAATCCAGCAAAAGTGCCTCTAAGTTGAGCGATTCTTTGCAAGATCAGGGCAGTAATGTTTCGGTGGTTATAACCCAAGAATCTATAGGTTTACCGAGAAATAAGAGCATGGATGACATAAAAACTGAATGTATAGAAGGAAACAGTACTAGTTCACCATCTAAGGATCAATTAATTACGTTGAAGCAAACAAGTAAAAATAGTCCCATGGGTTCCACAGGATCTCTGGGTAGAGGTCCGTCTCCGGCGTTTCAAGCACAACATACGATGTTAGAAAAATGTTTAAGGCAATACGAAACCTTTTATGTTAAACTAATTAGTAACAGAGTGTTGAGCAAAGAGAGAATGGTACACGATATGTTTGATAGTTTACTGATATCGTGTCCAAGGGAGAGTTTCGACGAAAGAATGCGATATTTAGAACTCCTGTTAAACTCTAGATTAAATATGGAAGATTCTGGTTTCTTCAGTCAAGATGTATCTGTGACAGAAGATAACAAACACTTGGATATCCTTCATTTGTATATCGATTCTGTATCACCAACCGAATGGGAGGAACCTATAAGAATTGCGTCTAGTTTGTTCGTTGAACTCTCTACGTTTCCCAAGTATTTTCTTCCTGGCGATGGAATGTTCGTAGAAGAAGAGCCAAAAGGAAATATGGTTCTTCCAGAGTGGTTAAAAGTTTTAGTAGTTTGTAGCTGTTGGTTGGGAAAGCAACCTGCTCTACAACTGACCAGTATTGCTACATTGTTGGATTTAACGGCATTACTGAAAGCTCACAGCGATATTGACACCCATACAAAGAGTGGAGAGGGCGTCACATCTGTAATTATGGTACCATTATTGAAACAGTGGCATATAATTTACTTGATGCAATATACCAATGTGTTTCAGGTATTTAATTTATTGCTGTCAACAGCGTTCATACATTTTTAAAAACAATAACATTTGTTTTTCTCTGAGCTTCACTTTGAATTTGTTTCTTGTAGGTACTGGCGCATTCTTTGTGGTATCATCTAGGTGAATTACCCGCTCACAAATATAGAATGCGTTGCGTTGAATTGTTACACGAATTACATCACGCTTTGCATAATTCTTGTGATGCAGTCGAAGATGTAATAGGAGCAGCGCTCACATCAGAAAATATAGAGAAAAGAATAGAAGCGTTTAATAGATTTTCGACCCTGTGGCATCTAGGACGAGAAATTGAAACGAACCCTAGGTTACGAGGCTGTTTGAAATCTTTCGATCAGTGAGTTATATATACTATATATTTATATGCATGTATATTTAAATATACATAATATCATTAATAGAAATGATTGTTACAGGTCATTGTTGAAAATATTGGATAATCTACAACTCTGCGATAATTCTCCTTTAAAGCTTCACGCTCAGTCATGGCTTCTTCACTCTTTAATGCGAGGCGATATTTCACGGATAGTGGACCCGTTATTAATAATACTATTGGATCCATCTACTTGCCGCATGAGCGTACTTCATGTCAGTATACAGCACAGTAATACTGTTTTGACAAAGAACGATCCCATAGAAGAAAAATCTGAGATACAAGATGACACCGAAGGAGCGGCAAAAATATACGCGATCAGCTCCGTAGATGGAAACGTGATATATCACGTTAGCGATAGCGTGGATGAGGATAAAAAATGGCGAAAGGGCAAAAAAAAGAAAAAAACCATAAATCCAGTAAAAGTGAAGAGAATATTTGCCGTGACAACACTGGCAGCTGGTGAAAATTGCAATCAGTATGTGACCGAGAAGAATCAGTTTATGAAAGAACTGGAAGTGCCACCTAGCATATCGGGTAATCGAAAGATATCCGTATTCGTCAATCCACTGTCATTAAATTGCAACGAGAATTCCAACGATTCCTTAACAGAGGATGATTCGTTGCCTAGCGTGAAGAAGGCAAATTTAACGACAGAGTTGTTGAAAAATGCAACAAGATTTAAGAAGATGGATTTTGATAAAGGTTCAACGGCTAGTTTGGATGAGAGTCTCTTCGAGTCGGCAAATTCTAGTTTAAAAACGAAGGATAAAAATGGATTCAAGAAATTAAACGGAGAAGTTGGCTCGTCGTTGGATTCTATTACCAATAGCTTCGATTCTAGTAGTCCTGAAATAACTAATAAACAAACGAAAGCGAAAAAAGAAGCCGTTGTAATGCCAGGCAGTTCTAGAGAAGTAGCTGGGACTATCATTAAGGGTAAATATCACAGTACAAATGAATTTACAACAAATTACGATGTACACGATGTTGGAAGCTTTGAGGCAAGTGTCGAAGTACCTAGTTGGACAATGGATGACGATGAAGCTGACTTGGATGTTAGTACAACCGCTGAAGAATACTTTAGCAACTCTGGTTGCAACAGTATAGTGGAAGAAATTTTAAATGACGTTCTTGATCGTGTAATGCAATTATGCGACATCACTGAACCATCGAAAAACGTAGGTTAAAGAAAATGATTTCATATTAAAACAAATAAATCCCACATTAATTACACGGCAATTAAACAATTTTCAGGATGACGAGAGTACATACCAGAATACAAAATCTGGTCGTAATTTTGGAATCGGAGTACATAATCTTCATTCACATATGCTACTTTATTGTGGAGTTTACGACTCGATTAGAACGCTTTATGCATTACGTACACTTCGTAATGAATTATTAACCAACACTAGAATGTTTTTGTGCTGTGCCGCGACCACTAGTGTGTCTAATACAACAAAAAATACAACGTTGTTAAATTTACTAGCGAGACACCGAAAAAGTGTGTTTGGTAGAAACTTCCATGGGGATATAGCTAATACAGAATTCATAGCAGCTTATAGAAGTAGTATGTACTTAGAAGTTTTAATTAGCGTGTGCCTTTATTTCGCAAGAAGTTATTATCCTAATCTTGGACAGATGAGGCTAACGCATGAAGAAATCGCCGGGAATCGACAAGTAATTATATTGGACATCAAGTGTATCATACATTTTCTATAATTATTTATTAAATTATATTATCCTTTCCAATATGTAGGTGCAACTTGCAAGCGCAGAGCTATTAACGCTTATATTCTCCGAGTTAATTCCCATCGTTCGTGATTCAGGAAAAGGTTTCAGTTGTTACATAGTCGATCTACTTGCTAAATGTAAAGTACAAAAGGTTGCGTTGCACTGTCTTGTGTCTAGCGTAATGAATATGAAAAATGCGCATAAGGAAAGCGAAGAAGTATTTACATTTACCGAAGAGATTATTTTGTTCAATGATCCAATGATGGATAATGATACTAATAAATGCAGGTACAGAGCTAGCGATCACACGGAAGCTTTTCAAATACAATTACTACGGTGAGTATTTAAAGAAGAAAGTAAAAACTAAATTTAAAGATTTCACATTAATGTTTTTTCCTAATTTTTTTTCTATTTAAGACTATTATTAGCTTTAATCATGTTGGAACATCAATGTGGTAGTCAAAAAGGTGAGGAACTATGCCCGCCAATTATATCGACACCGAGTACTCCAACACGAACTGTTCCAAATATTATGGGAAATAGCTTAAAATACATACCCGGTGCAGCAATTCCACAACAACCAATGTTTCTCGCTAGCATACTAAGTGCATTACAATTGGTACATGTCAAATTTGCATTTATTGTATTCGTTTTATGAACGTTAACGTTTCTATGAAATGTTTGTTTTAAAGGACCACATGAGGCATTTGCATCAACATTGGACAACTCTTGTTACATCGAGTCTTCCGTTTATGGGATCTTCGTTAACTTCGATAGTAACGTCAGTCATTCACCAACTGTGTTGCAACATTGAACATTTGGCGTCGTACTATATTAACGAGGAAACAATAACGGCAACAAAGTTACAGGATATCAGTACAGTTGAATGTTGTCTTCCTGCGGATTATACAGTTACACATTTAGAAGCTTTAACATTTTTACTTCATTACTGCTTATTGGATACATCACAGCAGATGGGGTTTTCCTTTAATCAGCCCTTGAGTGGTACAATTCAGACTGGAATTCCTGGGGCAAATCCAGGACAGATATTTAATAATCTTATTCATGTATTTATGCCGAGTCCTCTATCTCCAGTAAGCTTATGAATTCATAAACTTTTAGAACTTTAAAAACAAAACATACGTGCCATGGGAAAATATGATATATATATTTTTCTATGGTTTTTTTGTAGGATCTCACTACGTCAAAAGATAAAAGTGGCCCGAGTGAATTACAGCAGCACGCTAGAAGAACCGCTTTGAGTCATCTACCGAGAATAATCGCATCTCTGTCTACTCTTTGGCAAGCAGTCTTAGCAACAAAAGACAAGTTTGTTATATGTTTTTATACGTTAAGCATTAAAAGTCCATATTATACTAATAACATTTTTTTTTTATCGTAATCTAGCGATCAAGCCAGTTGTGTGGTTGGTAGTCCAAGAATAGTGAAACATCAGCTTTTAGAACTTCTGTCTCCTATATCTTTCCATCATGGAGTAAACTTCTTGGCCGCGATTGCTGTTGCTTGGCACGAAAGGCGACAATCCTGTAGTACTTCTAAGAAGGTAACTATTTTATAAAAATTTTTAATCGACTAAAAGTTTAAAATAATTTTGTATTTTATTTCCTCAGGTACTTCCGGAAGCTTGTCCGAATCAACAAGTGATGGTTGATTTAGTGAGCGCAATTCGTGTAATGCCTATTGATACTTTAGTCCAAACCGTGCATCAGGTTGTAAAAAACCCTCCACCGATTCATGGTGTGAAACAAGACTTTTCGTTAGAAGTTTCTGTGTTAGAGTTGCTTTATGTCTACATGCAAAGTAACACGTCTCAATCTCTTATCGAATCGTGGGCGTCTTTGCTGGGTTTGCTCAAAGATGGGCTATCCTTAACTGCACCGGCTCAATTTCTGTTACTAGCAATTTTAAATGAATACGTACAAAAATGTCCCCCTATGCAAGAGAAAAAAGATATAAGAGATCTACAAGATGTATCGGCAAAGGTATTTTTTTTCTCTATTTATTGCAAAAATCTGTGTATACATTATTGTATTATCACGCTTACAAATTTTCAGTTAGTTGAATCGTGTTCGCAAATAGCCGGATCATGTTTAGAACAAACAACATGGCTAAGAAGAAACTTAGCAGTAAGAGAAGATGCGTTTGAAGTGGTCGAAGGATCTTCGGAAGGTAAAGAAGGCAAAACTGGTGCTGGTGCGTAATGTGCTTTTTCTTTTAGAAAGATTCTGTTTTAGATGTAGTTGGTTATTAATACCTTTAGTATTTATTATTTTCTTCTTCCGTATCAGAGCGATGTGCCTTAGCATCCCGATTCTAACTTTGTTAATATATAAAAATTAACAAGAATTTTCTTTTACAGTAACACCCGGTACACCACCTAATGCAGCATATAGTGTTCAAGCTCAGGCAGTGTTAGCAGAAATATTAGCACCTTTATTGGATGTTAGTTATGGTTCCCAAGAAAAAGAACGCGTAGTAACACTATTAACCAATCTCATGTATAATGTCACACCATATCTTAAAAATCACTCGTAAGATCCAACCTTAATTAACTTAATTCATTTATTTACAATAACACGTATTATTGATTGTAAACTTTTTAGGACAAAGAACATTGCCTCTTTTACGGCTTGCTCCCAATTATTGAGTTCCTTATCAGGCTATCAGTACACGAGAAAAGCATGGCGCAAGGATGTATTGGATCTTTTGTTAGATTCTGCCTTTTTCCAAATGACGCCAGCGTGTTTACCATATTGGAGGACTATAATAGATAATTTAATGACACACGACAATACAACGTTTCGAGATTTAATGAGTAGTTATCCTCTTAACATGAGCAGTAACCTAAAATTTTGAAAATTTTTATGAACAAATTTTTTTTAAATTAATTTATTCTGTTATAGATCGCGTTTCCATGGCTCAGAGTAGCAGCATCAGTATATTTTCCTCGAAGGAACAGGAGTATGAGCAGAAAGCTCAACTTCTGAAAAGATTAGCATACGTCATACTTTGCAGTGAAATGGATCAGTATCATAAATATATGCCTGAAATTCAGGGTAAGTATTAATAAAAAAAATATTATAAATCTTAGCTAATATTGTATTGACATGATGTTAAATTCTTTTATCCTTTACTAGAACGGTTAGCAGATAGTTTGCGATTACCACAAGTTATTCCATCGATTCAGGCACAAGTCTTTCTTTGTTTTCGAGTGTTACTTTTAAGAATGTCACCGCAACATGCTACTTCCTTATGGCCCGTAATAGTCAGCGAACTTGTTCAGGTCTTCCTATATATTGAACAAGAATTGAACACTGATAGTGAAGAATTTAGGTATGATAAAGCTTGTTATTTTTAATAATCACTCTGCTTTGGGGATTTTGGTGCTTCTAATGCATGATATTTTAGTGGTTTTAGTTTGTAAATTATATACAATTGGATATTGATTTTATTAAAATTTTATTGATAGTTGGATTATTCTTAAATAATTCTAGTACATGATTCGAATCAATTTTTCTTAATTTTAATATAAAGTAAAAATTTAATTGAAATTAATTTTTTGAAATATTTTAATCAATAATACAATTTATTGTATAGGTTTTATCTATCCTTAAATGTTTTTGTGGTACTTTTTTTAAACGTACGCAACGTACCATGCTCTAATCGCATCATTTGTATTTATTCCTTACTAACAATATACCTAATGTCATATTGTTTTTGGCTCTGTTTCGGTATCCGTGATTTGATGGAATTTGTGATGCCTCCGTAAATTGATTGGTGTTGGGACATCAGTCGTCATGGCAGGTAATTGAATGCTTCTTGGATATTAACATTTATGATCAAATTTCAAAACCATGTATCTAAGATTTCTATCTATGCAGAAATTTTTAGATACTATATTCCATATACAGACAATTGTTAAAAAATAATATTACAGCATTTCAAAGATCTTGTAGCATTGGAAAACAGTAGTTACAATATGGATATTCTATGGGATTTGCGTTCATTGTGTATTTTGCTTTTAATTGTATCATGCTAAAATTAATTTCTCAAGAATTTATTAATCAGTGTTTATGTATTAACTAATATGTTTCATTTTTCAAATGAATTGTATGCCCCATGTTTATACAGTTCACACATAAAACTACTCTCAGCTTTGGATTCATCATGGGCTGTAAATGCTAGTAATGGACTTCAAGCACATGGTCATCCTCACTGGTTACAGCTGCAACTTGCAGCTGCTAAATTGTTAGATTTAGCATTACTCTTACCTGCTCACAGGCTTCCTCAGTTTCAGATGTAAGCAGAACAAAGTTGCATAAAATACTTTATTCAAAGTATGATATAAAATTGACATTTGTTTTGTAGGTATAGATGGGCATTTGTAGGAGATTCAGCAGCAGGATGTATGGAAAATAACAATCTGTCTTCTGACTTTGTACCGCATATTACAAGAATAGCAAAATTGATGGACAGCAAGGTATGTGATAGAACAAACATTAAATTTAAGAATTTTTCTATTAGTTTATTTAAATTTATATAAAATCAGTATTCTGTTGTGTTATGCATAATGTGATTAATGATAAAAATAAGATTAATGCACCATTTCATATATTACTTTATCTTATATGAATTACGTGATATAAAAATGATCATCTTTCGAAGAACAGTGTTCTGGCAATGAACATTGTTGCGTTTTTTCATCGAACACATATTCTTCTTTACATTCACATCCACTTTTGCATGGTGTGTAACAATCTACCACGTCCGGTTCGGAGCATGTGAATTGACAAAGGCAATGGGTCCAAACTGACTTTTCATCACATTGTTGAATATTTCTAGTAATCACGTAATCAAGCTCTTCGTAATCATATCCAGGAATTCGGTGCTTAGTGTATCGATACACTTTCTCGGGTTTATACCAATTTAATTGTGCAACTGGCGATCTTTTTTTAAGAGCGTCATCTCTATTCTCGAATGGTATTTGAAGATCATTTCTATGGGGGTAGACATCATTTTGCACATTTGCGTCTTCGAAATTACTTAAAATATAAAAATCGTCTTGATTAACATCTATATGATCTTTCTCGTAATTCCCAATGTAATTAATTGGCATATCCTCATAAAATTCTAAGTCTTTGTAATCAGAATCATCGGTATATTCTAAAAATAAAATATGCATAATATTAAATTACAAATGAATATTAGAGAACGATTGCAGCACAATATTATACAAGTATGACCTACGATTTAATTTCTATTAATTGCTGTTAACTAGCTTAAATTAAGTCTATTGAAAGCAATGAAATTATACTTATTAGCTACATAAAAATATATAAATTAAAAACCTAATTTAAATTTATAATAGAGAACTCATTAATATAATTAAATATCAAGTTTAATTAGTAATTCATCAATTATCTAAAACACTATTGACTTAAAAATGTAATATAGTTGGAAACTTATTATGTACAGTTAAATAATTAATTCTGCTGTCTATTACTTCTTTTTTATTAACAAGATATTGATTAACAAACTACAATACTTACGTGATTGTGTATAACACTTACGAGCATTTATTACCACTATAAGATAGAAAATAAAACAAGTAACTGTTCTTAGTCCAGTCACTGCCATGGCCACTTTCAAACTGACTCTGTCAGTGAAGTGCATACACTCTTTTACTACAAACGTACTCAATTAACACTGTGTGATTTCCTCACATATTTCATTCAATTATAAAATAATAATTATTGTCATATATTCTTTTTAAATTTACAGTATTTAATAGTTTTTTAAATACACTGAAAACTAAACAGAAAATTTTTCATACAATTATATAAATCAGTTTTATTATTGTATTTCACTTATTAATTTTATTGTTGCTTATTATTTACTTAATCAATTAAAAAATGTGTGCACTGCCTGGGGTTGCTTTCATCAGTACCTGATGAAATACTTATTTTGGTAATGTACCAATCATATATGTATAGTTTATTTTTGTAACTATGCCAGTAACCCACTATTTCAGCAATTCATTCCTTAAATTAAACATTATTGTGTAAATTATGTTAACAGTCTTAACATTAAATGATACTTGTGTTATAGTTTTAAATAGAATATTTAATTTCAAGTCATGAGAAGAAAAAAGAGGTTGAGGATTATAAATAATCTAAAAGTAACACAACAGAATACCACATACTTAAATTATTGCTACCATTAATGACAAGTTCTGTTGTGTAATATGTATTTTCTTATTAATTCATTTATTTTGCAGTATAAACAAGAACCAAATCCTGTAAAAGCCACAGCCGGTGAACTACTCTTAACATCTAATAATATTCGTTCATTGCAAGATTTGCATTATTTTTTTACAACACTTAGTCGCAGATCAAGTGACACTCAGGCACCATTAAACATCACACAGTTGGAAACCGTGATAGAGCAAGATTTTCTTGAAAAGATGCCAGCTGCAAGGTAGTAGGGATACATTTTCAACAATGTAGCAAAACAACTCTTACAGGAGAAAGATGGAAGAAGCATTTGAACACCTTTATTCTTTGATATCTTTTTAATGCACTAATATAAACGTTAATTACATAAGATGAATCGAAATGAAACCTGATTGTATTAAGAAAAGAGCAGTTAGCTCATTTATTCACTTCTATACGGTTTTATTATAAACTTGTACATCGCATATTAAGTAACGTAGAACATGTAATATATAGAAATATTCAGATCGATATTTGATTTTTATTAGCTAAGCTTCTAACTTGTCTCCTCATTCGGTTGTGAATAGTTATCAAAAGATACAATATGCCAGGCTGGAGCCTAGCTGAATTATATCTGTAGAAAATATGTACAGTGTAATATAACTTTTTATTGCAATGTTATTCTTTCAACTATTTTTAAAGTTATTTCTTTCTTATTTATCGTGCATATCCTTTTTTTTTCTTTTTTTAATATGTTGAAGCTTTTAACGGTCGATGAAATGATAATGTACGCACGCAAAATTGTTTTTCTCTTAATACTTACATCTAATAGCGTGCTCAGTAAAGCTTTACTGAATTAATTATACATGTATTTAACAAGTATTGCAATTTACATCAATGATGTTTCCGTTTTTCAATATCTTTTGTATTTTAAATGATAATCAATACCTGTATCTAAATGAAATGGTTTTTAAAATGCAAGATTGGTAAATATTATTTGAAAATGTGAATTATTATATGCAAACATTTAATGTTATATATGAAGAAATAAAGACAGGGAATGCGTTTATACATGTGTATCATATGTGTGAATATTATATTATCTTCTGCTTAAAAATGAATATTAATATATTATTTATTGAAGAAATTTAAATTGTTTAAAAGCAAACATAGTTTTAAATTTATTGTATTGTAATTCTGTAATAAAATATTTTTCTAATAATAATATGTACCTTGTAATCTTCACACATGTGATCCATTGATTCATATGTGATTAAAAACAAATGAAAAAATGAAACTTGCTGTGAAATTATTTTTCTATGTGTAAACACAACAAATTTTAAAAGTACGCAAGTTTTTAAAGAAACGTGCTTAACAAAGCATAAACTTATTTGTTAAATATTCATTTACTAGAGTTGCCATTCTGATGTTATTGTATATACATTTATTATCTAATGCTTATACCTTAGCACCATTTTCTGATGCTCTTTCACTTCTATTACTGGTGAAACAAATTAACTGAATGCATATACAGAAATATTATCATATAAATTAACGATTAAGAATTCAAATGACAAACAAACTGCATCTATACAAACAAGTATTATCGAATTTTATAATTAATGCTTCTTATGCAAATACTGCAGCATTTGTTATTTTCTTTTAAGAAGTATTTGTGTTCCATTCAATCATTGATTATATCTATGCAATGTGAATATATAATAATTAGAATAATATGCATTTGTTATCTATAGAAACTATGGTTGAACAGATAATTTTTCAACTTAATATTTAATTAAAACATATACTACAACAAATGAAAATATTCATATTTGTAATTTTCATGTTATTTTGGTTATTGTTACTGTTTCAAAGATACAAGCTTTTACTACATGCTATGCATAATTATAAATGGAACTTAGTCAAACAATTTGCTAACTTATTTTCTAGCGTAACATTATCATCATTGTTATGTGCCCTTTATAAAGCAATGGTTTAAAAATCGTGAAATGTGAAATTATAAAACAGATTGACAAAAGTAAATAAGTGATAATTATATATATATATATACATATATTTATGTTGAAATGTGTAAATTTATACAATAGATTAATGTTTAAAAGAATGCTGTAGATTTTATTTATTGAATATGTTTACAATTAATATCATTAACAAATAGTGTCCTTTTCTTTAAAGGAAATTTAAGAAATGAATGAGTGGTATGGAAATTGTGCCTTTTTTATCAGTTCTCCTTTACCACATCTTGATGTGGAATTAGTCAAAATCAGCACAAGACCGAAAAATTAAAATGATTAACAAATTTGTATTTTGAAAATACCGCCAATGATTTTTAATATTCGATCCCAGCGCCATCTATACAAAAACGACGGAAACTATTGAATGGACAACTTGTCTAGTTATCGATCGATCCTCCAGCAGTCGGTAAATTGTTAAGTAGTTTCCGCCGCTTTTGTATAGATGTCGCTTTCGTATAGTCGGTATCGAAATAATCTACTTACCATCAATGTGCGTTTGACTGTTGTAGCGCGAAATGTTTCATATTTTTATACTGAGGACAAAGCAGATAGCGCTCGTTCTCGAGGCACAGATTCAAGACCCCTCAAAAACAAAGACATGTCCAGTCTTGTTGGATCTGTAGTCATTGCTGTTAGTATCGAACACTTTCGTAAAATCAACAACTTGCTATTTTTATTTACATCTTGTTACATCTCTTTAAGTTTTAGCGATGTAATACAATCCATTTTAATGTATACGAAAGAAATCACTGAAGAATAAATGAATTAGACGTGTAGGGACAATGCATAAGATTCTAACAGATGATTTTCTAAGCATTGAAATAGTTATCAAAACAGAGTGACTGTATGAGGTGTTGTCGAAATAGAAAAATGCAACACAACGAGAGACAGTTCGAAGGTGCATATCATAGACAACGGTATTAAGCAATATCCATGCACATAAGCGGTTACGTACGGGAACCGGTTCTCCTGAATTGTTATACTTGAAAGGCTAGTTCCGAACGGACGAAACGGCACAAGGTGAAAGTAGAATGATAAAAGAAAAATTTAGAGCTTGCAACACGAAAATCCTCCGCTGAGCTATCGAAAGACACATGTAACGTAGCCCAGAGGAAGATGCATACTTCGGTCAATTACAATTTCAAGAGTAATTCCGACATTCAGTACGAGCTGTTAACTAACCTATTTCGAGGCTGATCGTATTTCGCGATTACGTATTTGACGTGAACATAACTACAAGAAATAAACACGTATCATCGCAATCATTGTATGATTATTTTATCACAAACAATAGATACGTCTTAAGGCGCAGGCATTTATTGATAAATTGTTTACAATGGCTGTGCCTAACAAGTGGGAGAGTGCTTGCAGATTGTGTTCAGAGGTGAAAAATGAAATGTTACCAATCTTTGGTAATGAAGGAGTACAACGTAAAGTAGCACAAAAATTACGTGCTTGCCTGCCAGTTTTAGTGTATAAAACCGATCCACTGCCAAAGCAAATATGTCAGTTCTGTGCTGCAAGGCTAGACGATGTTTATGAGTTTAGAGAATATTGCCTGAGTGTTTATAAAAGCATGCACTTAAAGTTATTAACATATAAGAATATTGAATCTGTTCAGATTTATTTAGAGGCAATGAAAAACTCTCCTGACCCTTGTCAGGTATTTAATGTTATTATTAAATTATTAGTTAACTCACATACAAGTTTCAAATGGATAAACTGTATCACATAATTGTCTGAATATTCTTTGCATAATTAATATCAATTTTCAGGCACAGTTATGGAGAGATAAGGCTAGAGCACCACCACCTTTAGTACCTTTGCCTGTTACACTGCCAGTTGAGAATCCATCAACACCGATAGATATTAGTCAGGAGCATCCAAGTAATTGTGTTGAGTCATTATCTGAATTACCATGCGAGGTAGAAATCAAAGAAATGAATACAGAACCAATATTAGAAACAGCTGTAAATGTGTATAAACCATCAAATAAAAATAATGTAGAAAATAAGATATACGAAGATGTAATAGTGGAAGATAACACAAATTCATTAATGGGAGAAAGCACTGATTCTGAACAGAATATTCAGATACAGAAAGAAGAAAAACGTACAAGTATTTTAGAACAAGTACTGATGGGTAGTTTGACAATGAATGACAGAAAAGATTTAAATTCAAAGACAAAACTATCCTCTAAGTGGTGGTGTGCACCTTGTAATAGTTACTATAAGTAAGTTATTCTTAATTGCATAATATCTTGTTTGTAACAGCCTTGTAATCGATAACTATTTATTGCAGGACAAAAGAAAGCTTAATAAAACATATGCAATTACATTGTCCAAGAAAATATACTTGTAGAAAATGTTCCACATGTTTTGAACTAGTGGAGGACTTAGCTAGACACGAAGCTACCGATCACTTGAAAGTGACACTAGATTTTGATAAGAGCGTCAAAGATTGCGATCAATGTGACAGACAATTTGTAAGTTGGGAAATGTTGAAGCAACACAGATTAAGGGATCATTTGGCTCAAGCAAATGAAATTGGGACCAATACTCGATGTTCTTTATGCAATAGGTAGTATTAAATTCTGTATTTACTGTAATCATAATTCTTCTAAGTTTCCAATTTATATCGAATTTTTTTTATAGATTCTTTCCAAGCGTAGAAGACTACCAGAATCATACTCAGTTACATGAAATTAGTAATTATGCATCAACAAAACCATCACAATTAACAGATCAACAATTAGTTAAAGTTCTTAAAAATGAGGAATCTTTAAAGGAAGTAAAAATAGAACATTTTGCAGAAACTACTAAATCACTTACATGCCCTACTTGTGGAAAAGTATAAAATTTTTAATATAGTTATGTAAAGATATAAACAAATATGTTTTAAATTATTGTTTTATACTTTCTTGTGTACAGATCTGTACTCAGCAAAGTGCATTGTCAAATCACATGCGTACTCATGAACCTAAAAGACATAAATGTGATATATGCGGACGTTCATTTGGACTCTTCATACGTCTAGCAGCACATAGAATGAGTGAACATAGCCAACAACCTACAGTCTCACCAGTTATGGCAAGTGTTGAACAAGAAGAAGCATTAAACGCTGAGAGAGAGGCTAGAGAAGCAAGAGAAGCTAGAACTCGTTCTACGAGAACCAGAACATATTCGGAGGTTGAATTATATCCATATATGTATTCAGCGATTGAATTGTATGTATGCACTATATCTATTACTTACAGATGTTAGAAAGAGAAGATATTCCTAATCACGAAGAACCACCATCAAAAAGAAGAAATGTTCCTGTAAATAATAGTGCATTTAAAAATGTTGCAAGGTGCGGTATATGTTTCCAATGGTTTAGTGATCACACTACGATGTTAATGCATTTACAAACGCATTCAGATAACTACACTTGTAAAAATTTTACATGTCACATATGTAAAAAATCATTCAAAGAAAAGTGGCAATTACTTAGACACGAGGTATATACCGATTATTGTAAATATTTTATTTTTTCTCCCCTCTCATGTTTTCTAATGTTAATGTCTTTATTTAAAAAAATAGGTGTCACATCAACGTAACGAGTCGACGGCAATGTACGTATGCAGTGTATGTAATAAATCGTTTTTGGACAAGAATGCGTATAAAACACATCATAAAACGCACATCCTTGACAAGACATATCATTGTTCGAAGTGTAATAAAATATTTTTCAAAGAAGTGTCACTGTTAACGCATCAGTGTACAACAGAAACTTCGCTAGGTAAAAAAGGAGTTTCCTCAAAATCGTTACAGAAAGCTGCATCGTTAAGTAACAATAAAAAGTATAAATGTTCTAAATGTGATGCGTCGTTCAGTAGTTTTCAATCAAAGAATTCTCATATGAGGATACATACGGAAGAATCACAGACAATTGTAAGCTCTGCGACATTTTCTTCGTAAAGTTCAAAATTATTCAATATATTTGAAGTGTTCATTTTATTCGTGTAGGAACTAACAGAAGAACGAAACGCAGACTCCGAAGAAGAATCTATGCCAAAATTAAGTCCTGAAACTTCGTTAGGATATTCATTACCCATTGAACCGAAAGTGGAAATAAAGGAAGAAAGTGCGCCACCTCCTGTTAAACGAACTCTTATTAGAACAACTGGCGGGTAGGGTTCATTTAATTAATTTTAAATACATTAGACATCATATTAAAAATTTAACATTTATTAATCTTTCAGATATCGGTGCGGGATATGCCAGTCTCCCTTTGTTTTACGCGAGTTAGCTGTTGCGCACCTAAGATCTGCACATCCTCTTATGCCGTATCAGTGCCCTTATTGTAAAAAGCGATTTACAACGCAGTATACGTTCACGCATCATATTAAAACAGATCATCCTGATGAACACGAGAATTAAATGATATAAATTATAGTTAGCTCTAATATGCCAAATGGTTCTCATACTATAAAGATATGCCTTGAGATAACTTTTGTTTATAAATAACAAAATATATATATAACGGTTTTCAGTTTTATACTGAAGCTGTGATTTGATAATCTGGCATACTAGTTCCTGAACAAATAATTGGCCTTAAATAAAGTTTTGTAGTTCTGTTTCATGGAAAATGATAACGCTATAGAGGTATATTCATAAATAAATATAGATTGTGTTGAACAAAATATAGTTTTTAATAAAAACTAAGTATCTATTATAGGATACTGTAATTAGGACTAGTACTTATATTGAACGTGCCTCGTTAAGTACTGTGTCATTAGCACTACACAATTTTTTAGTCAAATCGACGTATAAATGCCGAAGAGACAAAATATCCTATTAGATATTGTACGTCCCGTTAGTGATAGTTCCATGGAATCTTATAAAAGTGTTAACTCTGTTTACATGTTTTTAGAATTAAAAAAACATTCCTTTTATCAAAGAAAATTTTTTTTGATTGTTATGATTCTTTCAATATTTCTTTTATACTATCTATTTGACTTTTTGTGTAAAAATCTAGAAATTAAAGGCAACAAATAAATTTACAGTTACACTGTAAATTCTCATTATTATTTTATTTTATGTATATATCAATACTATACATATATAAGTATTTATAATAAAATCACTAATAAGAAAAAGCTTTGTACGCTTATTGAATAAATTTTTATGGAAGAAAAATCTGTTGTTATTGAACTGATTTTTAATGTAATAATATTATACTATAGATCAGTATCTCCTTTACATCCCGGCCTCCTTTATATCCCTGTATTCCTTGCATCTTTGCATCCTTGTATCACTTACATTCCTACACCCCATATATCCCTGCAGTTGGCTTCCGTAATACTTGCTTAACCCTTGCCTAATTTAGTTCCCATTTCTACCGCCAGAGAGCGCTGATCTGACATTCGAAATTTAGTTCACATTTTTGCTACCAGAGGGCCAAAATTGGTGCAAGCTTTAGTTCCTTTTTTTGCTCCCAGGGGGCGCTGATTCAACATCGAAAATTTAGTTCACATTTTTGCCGCTAGAGGGCCAAAATTCCGACATGCTTTAGTTCCTTTTTTCAAAACCAGATGGCGCTGATTCGACATCGAAAATTTAGTTCACATTTTTGCCGCTAGAGGGCCAAAATTCCGACTTGCTTTAGTTCCTTTTTCCAAAACCAGATGGCGCTGATTCGACATCGAAAATTTAGTTCACATTTTTGCCGCTAGAGGGCCAAAATTCCGACCTGCTTTAGTTCCTTTTTCCAAAACCAGATGGCGCTGATTCGACATCGAAAATTTAGTTCGCATTTTTGCCGCTAGAGGGCACTGGTTTCGGGAAGAATTTAGTTCAAATTGTAGGAAATAAAGTGATTTTTGGGTTGCAGGGCTATAAGGGAAGCAGGGTTGTAAGAGGAACAAAAAGGTGTAAAGGATAGCGGGATGTTAGGCATACGGGGTGAGGGACGCAGAGATGTAAGGGTGATAAGAGGAGTAAAGGATGCAGGGATATAAAGAAAGCGTGGATGTAAGGATGCAGTGATGTAAGGGGTATAGGCATGTAAAGGATACAGGGATGTAAGGGGATTAGTTGCAAATGTTTTTTTTTTTTTTTTTTTTTTTTGTTTAATGGAAGAGGAAATGCGTTTATGCACGCGCGGGTGATCCCCTTGTCGCACTATTCGGCTAGAGGGGGCCCGGGCAGTGTGGGACTCATACCACCCAGAAGGGGTGATATACTACCCACTAAAACCTCTCCCCTAAGGTGGGCTGTCGGTACCCTTTCATCCTTTGGGGATATCCCAAGAATACCAACGATAGCCACAACGACGCTTCCTTTTAACCGCAATCTGCCATGCAAGCATGAGAGATTGCGAATCCACGTCGCTGCACCCCCGATCAAGGGGGTTGGGACATTTTCAACCTGCACAAATGCGCGCAGGACTTTTTCTTCGGCCACGATCAGGACCTCTGGCACAAGTATCTCGTCGGTGCTCTGGGTCGCGTGCAATGACAATCGGAACCCTTGTTCCGGTCGTCTGCGACACCGACGAGGGAAGAATGAGAGTGAACTTACCGACTAGGTGAACCAGTGGCGCCATTTATCGAAAAACAGTGAAAACTACTTAGCTGGTTTATCGATCGATTCTCTGACAGCTATACGTACTACGAGCATTCCCTGTGTATGACCATATTGACCATGTACTACTGCAGGCTTTTATAAGCGACCTTTACTACTTATTTGACTTTCCATTCCGAACACATACCTCTACTTTATTAAATGAACATTTAAAATGCAAATACAACTTCAATTGTATTGTGTAGAAGACCCCGATCACTAATATCAATATTAGTACTGCTGGAACTATTACATAACTTTAAGATATTAGGGTTGTATTCCCGAAAATCTGTGAAATCCGATTTGGCTGAAATCTTGCGGATAGTTTCATTTCACCTAGAAACAATGTTTATGAGAAAGTTTTTTGATGATTTGAAAATTAAAACTCAAGATTTTGCTAAAAACGTTTCGTCGCGGTAATGCCATTCTCTGCGTTTCCACCGGAAGGCGGCCGGCTATATTTTAGGATCTTAACTTTGAAATTACCAAAAATCCTTCACCTAACAATTATTAATCGTTTCGTAGAGAAATAAAAAAATGTGGTATACCTTGATAAGGAAAATTGGATCCGATACTGGAGGGGTACGGTGGTGAACGACGGTTGAACGTAAAGCGCATGGAAAAACCAGAGGGGGCAGATCTGCCGCATAGCCGACGGAATCTCGTCTGATCTTCGTCAGACGCGACGCGTCCGCGATCACGTACGGTGCACTACGTGAGAAGGAAGAAGGTTCGTACGTTCGTTCAGTCATTTCGGACGTGAGAACGAAGAGAGGCTTGTCGTCGGTCGAGCACTGCCACTGTAAATTTTCTCATTCATCTTCGAACTACATTCCTTTTATCATTGTTCGATTCTTTAAGTGGGTTTCGCAATAGAAAAAAAAGAAAAAAAAAATTGATTAATTGGTAGGACCTGCCGCGTGTGAACTTTCCATGCAGCGAGGGTGGAGGCAACACGTCCGAAGTGACTGACTGCAACGTGATTGACTGAAACACATGGTCCGGTGATCGTGATCATGATTGCAAACCGTCTCGCACCGATTCTCACCCTTATCCTTGTGGTTCTGCTGTCGTCTATCCACCACGGTGAGTGTAATATTTCGCGCTTCCCTGCTCCCTTTCATTGCAAACTTATTAATCACGAAACGATTTGCGATCGTTTATCTGTCGTAAAAAGATAATATACGAACCGAAATAAAATTCTGCTTTCTGTCCTAATTTGTGATCCTGTTACTGTATTACCAATCGATCTATGCACAGTCTTTAGTTCTACATCATGATCTTTCTCCCACATAGTTGTTCTCATTATCTTTCAGCCGCTTTTTTAATATTTAATATTTTCCACGATTTTGATGGAGAATCAATTCTACGATCATTCGTTCATCGAACAGATAGATGGGCTTTTAAAAAAGTCGCGCATATTAAAGCGCAATGCGGTACTAATGGAAAAAGTACCGTGTATCCAGGGTAATGGGAATGATTAAGTACCCTATTACTTTTACACGCGTTTTAAATGCTCACTACGAATCTTTTGAACGTTGAATCGTTAAAAAATGATTAGTAATTTCTTTCGCGAGATATAAATCGTATAAACTATAAAAAAGATGCTGAAACAGACATGATATTGATTTTGAGTTACATAAAAGGTATGTTAGACTTTTCATCGCCCGCATTCGTTGCAATTTTACATCGTACCTTCATTTCCATGTCGATGTTTCTTCATATTTTAATTCGATCGATAGAGTTATCGAATTTTGAAATTTTCTTTTTTCACATTGGACGATCGATCAATACTTTCGTAGGTTGTTACAGATTACGTTAGATGGAATTATCGTAAATGAGGGCAATTAGTAGGAAGTAAGATAGCGCATTGGTGCTCGTCCTGTAGAGGATTACGATGTTCCAGATGTTCGTCAGGGAACTCGTACAATAGTAGCACTTGTGGTACTTCCTCGGCGCTTGCCCGGAACCGAGTGTGCTCAATTTCTAAATTGAATCTCATTACAAAAGTAAATCGCGTGGAAAGGAAACAGGTTACCGGAAGTCACAAGTAAATCGCAGAAAAATATTCATAATCCTTCTTACATACGTATTCTATTTCTTCTTTTACAGCAATCGCGTGTACTCAGTTTTCTGTTCCTAAACGGGTATACATACATATTTAGGGACGAAATAGCTATCTTGTAGGCAGTTCTATTAAAGGGAAGATCTTCGTAGAACTTCAAAGCGGTTCAATAATACGATACGATATAAAGCTATCGACTTTTTCGTAGGAAGACTATTTCTTTTCACTTCACTTAATCGATAAGCCCCTGACATTAATAAAGTAATTGCAGTTTTTCGCAATTACAGAAATGATCTAGGAAAAGATACATAACAGTTTTAAGAAACTAAAACAGGTCAATCGAATTGAACCTTAAAAATATCAAACACCAGAAGTGATGTAAGCGATGCGTTGTTGCGTGCAACCCGGCTTTAATCGTTAGGGGTTGACCTTAAAGGAACGATTCTACGACTGCTCGAACTTAAAGTGACGGGTCAAACATTATTGCGGTACTATCAGGGTAGAAAGTGTCACCAACAGGCTTGCCACGACAGTCATCATATTCTTTTTAAAAACAATTATCGTTTGTTCTTTGATGCAATTTATTGAAATTTCGAATTTTTTGGTTCATAGAACCTGTCCCCCGCGAGGGTTATCGAGCGACCCACTTTCTCCCCTCTCTCCCGTTGCATTCTCTCACACTCTCTCCTTCACCGAATTCTATTCTCCCTGCACCGCGTGGTACCGTGATCAAGAGGGTGTTTCTCGCGTTAACCTTGCCTTATCGATGAATTTTTTAATAAATCTCTTCGGTAAATCGTGTGTCTTTACAGTGCACGTTCTTATACTACTTCTAGTTTCATTGAACTAGACAGTTGATTGAAAGAAAGCTTCTCGATTGATCAGTTGTTCGCTTTAAAGTCAATCTTACAATTGAAAAATGATCAAGTGAATGTTAAAAATCTCTGATGAACGATTTAATCTAAATAGCAATGAAATCCTGATTAGGTATTTCAAATAAACTTCACTAGGTCAGAGATATATATCTTTTAAATATCCAAATTTCCAATTACAAGAGAAGAATGAAATTCCTTTTCGCAGACGTATTTATGTCAACGAGGAAGAAGCAGCCCGGCCATTTCCTTTCTTTTTGTTCCTGTCGATTACATAAGGACCTGCAATGTCACGCAGCGCTTGTTGGTCCTCACGCGACTCGCCTCTAGCGTCTAACCCAGCTACCCTGTCCTATTTACTGCTGATCGAACGTCTCGTGTGGTTTCAAATGTCACCGAAGAGCTTTTCCTCAACACAACAGAGAAATCTAATCAATGTTTTCACACCTATACCTTTGTTGAAATAACTGCAGATTGTCAGGTTGTCCCCTTTAATCGAGCCGGCAAAGGACTGTCTTTTCCTCGTCAGAGTTCAATCGAGCGTCTTCGTTAAACTAATTTTACGCTTTGATGAACTTCCAGTGACTGTACAAAGTTGTATGAAAATTTATCTGATCGCCTTGATATCTGCATTGATTGTTGATAGTTTGAATTTAATTTTCTTTAACGATTCAGCGAAAGTTCATCTTGCGTTTCAATGATTAGTGGGACAAAAATGCTCTTAGAGCGCATATCCCTAGCGGAAGGGGCTGCAGAATTTGTTCAAGGTCAGGGTGTCACGCCGTCTCGGGGTAAATTCTGCGAATCGAAACCGGAAAGGAACATTTCGTTAATATTATTTACCTACCCTCTTTTTGCAGCGTTGAAATCTGAACAAGTATTCTCGTTCTATACGTGGAAATACAGGGTGGTCTTGGTAGGAGTGTATCAGTAGGTCATCACGCGCATTGAACGGGGTCTTCCTGCTCGATATCAGCTGGTGCTGTAACCAGACTTAGGAGGGTGAATGGGGTTGCGTTATGACGTCACAACGCGGCAGGACTGTAGCCAATCGGTGCCAGTTGGATAGACAGAGCGTGAAAGAAACTTTGAAAATTCAAACGGGACAGAGTTCTTCGATGAGATTAATTTTTCATTAACGATCGAACAAAACTGCTGTAGATATGTATTGATCTACATTTGAGACCTTCGATGGAGTCTGCAGACTAATTGTACATGTGTACCACAACGGATACCTGACACATTAGTGTCCCAGTTTTGAATGAAGCGCGGCACGCGATAAGGGTGGCAGACAAGAAACCATCATTTACAAGATAAATTCAGTCATTTTTCCAAGCGCTGACCTACCCTGTCCTAATCGATAGAACAGCTTAGTGTTTCAGCGATGCTTTCAACGATGCTTTAAAACTGTGTTTAGTTCCTTCTTCTTCATTTTCTGTTTCTACGTAATTTAGGTAATTATTATTAACAAAAAGAATTTGTTTTCAGGTGAGGCAATAATATGCTACCAATGCAACAGCGAATACGATCCAAGATGTGGAGATCCATTCGATCCGTACAGTCTTGGAACGGTGAATTGCAGTTTTCAACCACGTTTAGAACATTTGAGCCATTTGGAACCAACATTGTGTCGAAAAATCAGCCAAAAAGGTAACGGTATTGTTGTAGATAAGTTAGCTTAAATAATTTCCTAAAACTTGATCCTTCGTTGCGTAACAGTGTACGGCAAGATCAGGGTTGTCAGAGGTTGCGGATACATTACGGACGAAAAAGACAATGGCATGTGCTTGAAGAGATCAGGTACTCACGATGTTCAGGCACTCTACTGCTCATGCACCGGTGATCTATGCAACTCGGCTGAAAGCCGCACGCCGTCCTTCTTACTGCCGTTAACATCACTGTTGACGGTCGTCCTGGCATTGCCGAGTGTGCTTCTTTCGTATCCGTTCGCAATATCCATCTTTACCTCGCCGCATTTCTCCATAGCCTAAACTCTTCGGTAACCAATGGAGAACACCTGACGCCTAAACCGAACCAACGATTTAATAGAGATCGTTCGAACCTGATCCAACTCGGTCTCTTTCGATTTCCGCCTTCGCTCTCGATTTCATCGAAATTTTTATCAAATCTCTAAACACGAAAATATATGGATTACCTTTGTTTAAATATATTCTCTACTGTACCTAATAAATGCAGAATTACCTGCAGAACGATTCGCGAATCAAAATTGGCGGAAATCGAAACTGTTGACAAGTTGGTTGAAATTACAGCTATTGTCACACTTGTTATTTTTAAAATGAGACGCTTCATCAAAAGGGTAAAAAAATACAAAGATATACCGTTTTGGGATTCGAACGTTTCGCAAAAAAGAAAAAAAATAGTCAAATTACAAAAATAGTAGTTCCAACGGTGATACAAACTGCCAGATACGCGGAAAGCGTATTTCAGTAGTACACTTGAAAAGAATTATGATGAGAAAACACACGTACACACACACACACGGCCTCCGCGCGTGAAACCACCCAGCGTTTCTCGCATAAGCGTAGAAAGTAAAAATAATAATTACAATACCTGTGGAGGATAAATAAACCTCGAGAATGCATATAATATATTATAGATATATAAAGTAAGCTGCTATAAAACAGATGAGATATAATACAAATATATTATATTTTATTCGAAGGAAGCAGAAATGGAATTGCACGCAAGATGGATACTACAGCTTATTTTTTAGAGAAGTAACGTCGGGTTGCTTTCGTGAATGCCTGGTATTGTATAGAATTTTAATGCTGACGCGGAAGTTACGGAGAAAAAGAAAAAAAAAAAAAAAATAAATGAAACACATATCATCGATACGTAATATATTTTACCCTTCGTTTCGATGAAGATGATAACGATACCAAAGTACATATCTGGCATTGCGATCGCGACTCGTGTTCCACTAATTTTTGCAATAAAATGCTGTATAAAAAACGGTAGCGGAGGCTCGCGAATGGAAAATAATAATTGACTTGTGCATGTGTGTGTGTATGCACGGCTGCGTGTATGTTGCGTGTACGTGTATGCGCGTTAAAGAGAGAAAAAGGAAAACGCTAAATTATACAGATAGTTCGATTAAGAAATGAAATGTTGCTACTTAAGGTGATACTTGTTAAAAGTATCTCGGTTCATACTTGGAAACATTTTTCTAAGTATCATCTTAACAATCCTGGCCGTGAAAGCCTCAAGAATCTTATGTTGCTACTCGTTGAACCGTAGCCAACTAAAGATATAACAGTAAAAAACATAAATTAAAAAAGAAAAAAATAACAAAAATGATACGAAAAAAAAAAAAAAACCTAAGAGTCGTAAATGAAATCGTAACGATGTAGAATCGTTGATGGAGAAAGTAGAGGGTAAAGTAGAACGCTTATTAACAAACAAAAAAATAAGGCGAATACATGTCTCACCGCAGTAAGTACTTAAGTTAATTGTTGCTGCCGATGTTGTCACCGTGTCATCGTCATCACCATCGTTACACCATCATTGTAATTGCAATTATTATCATTACTCTCAGTACAATGGTTATCAAACTGCTACTACCATTAACGTTACTGAAGTAATCAACATAATCATCATCATCATTATTGTTAATATTATTATTGTTGTTATTATTTAATTATTGATAAAAATAAGATGGATGATCTGAATGAAAGGGATGATGGAACGATGGTAAACGTTTTGACATCTTGCAAGGTGGAAGAATAATGGTAACGATTTAAAATTCGTTTCCTTTCGAACTGCGGATGAGCACATGAGAAAACATGGAGTTTGTAATCTTCTAATCTATTCTGGTATACGTTCAGTTAAAAGCTTTCACACTTCGTAATTCTAAATATGTTGGATTCTACCTCTTCGTTCCATCGAACGTAGTAAGAAGAATTTCTGTTCAAATTAAAAAGCGTGAGATAAGTAGTCGAATAAAAAACGAAAGATAATAGACAAAAAAAAAAGAGATAGTAAAAAATATTTCGTTACATTCCGTTCGATTAATTTAGCTAATCGACTGGCTGCTTTAGATGACAATTTAAGAATGCCTAGTAACGTTTGAAGCTTTTTACTTTTTTATTTTTGCTTAAATACAACACGAGGATGTAACTGTATGTATAGTTATGTCTAAAAGTATTTGATTCGAGAAACTAGAATTATTCTGTACTTTACTTTACGTGCATGACGTCCATTAAATTAGTTTGCGAAAGAAACATTTTTCTCGTTAAAAACAAATGTAATTATGATTTACAATGATGATAGAAACTGTGACATCTAAAGAATAAAGACAAACAATAAACCTTTTTTAATCTCTCTTCCCCTCTAATTGTTGCGCCCCAACAGGAAATGGAATGTAACGAAACTGCTTTTCCGTGTACCCGTTTCGAATTACAGAAAATCCGCTTCATACATATCATTCGTTCATAATCATCTATCATATTTTAATTAAATAAAACTACTGGCATCACTGCCACCCCTCTCCCCCTTATTCAAGCATATCGAATAAAAGAAGAAAGAAACGGGAAAAATATTACATTTAAATATCATTGTTACGTATACATTTAACAACTTATCCCGGCCATCAAGAGATTACTTTAAACTCCTTCTGTTTTATTACGATATTTATTGTCATCTAATGTTAATATTGCATTGTACGCATCGATCACCATGTACAGAGAATATTCTGCCAATAAAGAGTTGAATGGTTACCAAAAAAGAAGAAAAAAATTAAACAGTAATTTAAAAGAAAACAATGTGAAAATAGAAATATTTCAATTCAGATTGGACCTACAGATATTATAATTACATACAGAATAAAGTACATTGTTCCCAGAACGTTATGTCAAAAGTTATACAATTAAATTGGTTTGTTATTCAATAATTTTGATGTTAGTGAACATAAATAAATGCTGTTTTCTTTTGCGATGTATCATTGATTCATACAACCTTCGTCTATAATTAATTCAGTACGAAAACGGAAATGCTTATGAGCCTGATACGTTTATCATCAAAATATACCAGGATGCGCACTATAGATATAAAATGGTATGTTCATGATAGAAATGATACCGAACTTGATGGTTATTTTTTAATAAATACGTAAGAATCATCAAAGGTAAGAAATGAATTATAAATGCTACAAATATTACACATACTTGTTGAGTAGGTAGTTAAAGTTGATAGCACGTATTTAAGTAGAGAAAAATCTTAATTGCTAATCTAAGTAGCTTCTTATGTAATAATCTCTACATATTAAGTAAAACATAAAACTTCGCGCGTATTAGACAACAGCACCGTATAAAATAGATTGAGATTATAGATTATAGAATCAAAGGAACGTTAGTAATGTGTCGTTTCAATTGAAACGGTTATTATTAAGCAATAGACGTTTCTAAAATTAAAAATTCTGTATAAAAATTTCTAATGTTTAACAGTAGAAAACATATCTGGACTTGTTTACAATGTAATATTTTTCGTTTTTCGATATTGATATTCACAAGGCACGAGGGTCGACGTTTCGATGGCTGGCCGGAAGACACAGAAGCACTCGATCAGCGTGTCTCTGAATTCAACTACAATCACATTTTCTTCTGACTGTACAAAGATAAACGTTAGTCTAATTTCTTATTAGATTCATCGTTATGACTGAGATATATAAATGTATTAACAATAATGTGAAAGTAAATGGTTTTAATACTGTGATGCTTTTGTATGACACTCTATTTTTTAGAAAGTTTAATGTTCAATTATCACTCATGGATTTAACATTAATTGTTAATATTATTCTGTGAGAAATAAATGTGATTTTATGTTACAAAAGATAAATCTGTTATAGTACTCAATAAGTAATAATAAAATAAAATTTCTCTCATCGTATTAATGTTACGATTTCGTTTAGTCGACTAGAAGCTGTGAACTTTATAAAAGTTTTAATTAGAAATTGATATCTCCGAGAGTAACAAAATTTGCGTGAAAAATTCTATTATCTGCATTAATAAGGAGCGTTAATTTTAGAATGCTTAGACGTAATGAACTATTAATTGGAACAATCGAGTCATTATTTGAAATAAGCGTATATCATTGGGATTCAGTTTGAAAGTTTAGAAAATGTTAAACTTTTAGTGTGCTAAGTATCAGAAAATATGACTATATCAGCTGATTTTTCCTCTTCGGTTGATATAAACGGTGTGACCACTTGCATGTTCACCGATATATATAAAGGATAAGTGAGTTGTTTATCCAGAGACATCACTTGTTTCTAAAATATAATACATATTTTTTAGTAAATATCATCGTAACATCTTAAAATAAGAACAACTCTACAAAAATTACTTACTTCCTCGTTTTTATGAAGAGATAACCTAAGCATACCTGAACTCTGAATAAGTTTCACTTGACGTTGTTCATCCAATGAAATTAAACATATTCTGTAAAAATACTTTCTTTAACACAATTTATAACTTAGATGCTATAATTTAAGTGTTTGAATTGCAAAATAAATATATACTTTAAAATTATGTTGTGCTTGCTGTGGTTGGCCTTGATGTGGTCTGTGTCTAGTCTATGATTCCTTTTAATTCTTAAAGTGGTACTATCTAAACATACCACCAAATCTAAACCAAAATGAAATGCTGTCCATCTCCAAATATGTTCACCAGCCTTCTCGATACATCTTCCACAACGAAAACATTCACGAGCAAATTCTTCTTCACTCATTTGTTTCGGTCTATAATGTAAAAAAAAAAAAAAAAAAAAAATAAACATGTTTTATGATTTTGCATATGTATTCTCCTACACTAATTGCTTTCTTATTATATCAATGTAAGTAGGATAATTATCAATGGTACCTAAAGACAATGAACAAACATGGGAGTAGGTTTTTCAGAGTGAAAATTCTGGCCACAAAGCTGGATGTAAAAAGGAAGGGGAGAAAAAAGAAGGCACATATTCGAGATTCTTTACTATGTCCATCAACCTAAGCATAGATGAAGGATACATTTAGATAATATAGCATTTTGTAAACTTACCCTCGATCTTTATTTGCATCTATTCTTAGTAAATGTAACCATTGCTCTTTATACGCATTGTGTAACCATTCGTGTGGTATTAAATTGTCGCTATATAAAATTTTCACATCTTGATCATGTAACAAAAGATACTTCATCCTCAATGCTTTGAAAGGGGCTGCAAATTCTTTTCCTTCCTCAGTTGTAAGAAAAGGTTTTGTCCACTTATGGTTTCTAAAGTACTCATCAATTTGAAGTGTTTCTTCTTTATTGTGCACATGAACAAACAACCTGAAATACAATTAATTATCATGTAATAAAAGCAGCTGCATTGACCACATTTTATAACTTACCAGACACGCAGCATCATGTATATGCAAAATTCTGTTTGCATAGCAATTAAATCAGGACTAGCAATTAACTCAGCCATCAAATCAGGTGTAATTTCTTTTAAAAATGTTGGGTGTAACCACCCATATCCCAAAAGATTAACTTCTAACCATCGTTTTGCTGCAGTTTTCACAACTGGTACACCATACGACACAGCAGCATTGTAATAAGGGACAACTGTTTTTATATTTGTTGTTTCTACCATAATGTCAGTGCATTGATCAATTAATCCTTGTAATTGGAATAATGTGGAAGTAGCTAAAATTGATATAACATCTTTTGGTTCCAAACTGACTTCATCTTGATAAAAGGAACCAAAGACAGTTAAAAGAGCTGAAAACATATATAATTAAAGGAAACAGCTCGATCATTGAAACAGTAATTTGTATGAAAAAAGTTACTTACAGTCTAATGTAATGTTAGGATCAGCAATTTCTACACTGATAACTGTCTCATTTGCTTCCCTCCAAGATCCAGAAAACATACTTGCAAAATATGGGCTCTGTTAAGAGAAATTAAGATTTAAGTTTACATAAATAGCCAATTATATACTAAAGCAAAGATTTTACCTGACTGATATAAACTTTATGTAATCTCCATGCTTTTCCCAACATAAGCACAGTTATGTCACTTCCTTTCTCCTCTTGAAATAAAGTTTTATATATGTACTGTGCTGTTGTAAGCAACTTTCTTCTAAAAAATTCAAAACATCATTATATACATTTTATGAATCATTATCAACATAAAATTAAACATAAACAGTAGAAAATTTCATACTTTTTCGGTGTTTGAAGCGTGCGATCGATGTAATCCGATTCAGAATCAAAATCATCTTCCTCAATACACTTTCGTTTACGTCCACGGTATACTGAATGCACTGCATTGTTTGACATTGACGCAATTCTGCTCGCATAACTTCCCATTTTGTTACGTTTTAATGAATATAAAAAATTTCAAATCCTAATATCGACAAATTCTTCAGAATTCTCAACATTGTTTTCAACGTAGAGAATCATACGTTAACCACCAGTATTCAGTACACAGAAGAAAGTGGTCTGTATGGATACTTTATAAAACTTGCAATGTAGTAAAGTATTCACACACATATCGTATATATGTATATATAACATGTAAACATGTGACGTAATAAAAGCTACAACAAAATTGAATAAAAATATTTATTAACGAAATGTTCGTTTTAATTGGATGTTTCTCTTTTTAAAAATCTTACCAATTTTTTAATACAATCAGTACATACGTACACGCACAATCGAATATATTATAAATAATATACCTAATAAATTTATGCACACATAAAGTCCTATTCTTATGAAAACTAAGGTACCAATATTAATTGAATAATGTGACGCTTTACTACTCTTTAGTACTTTACTATTTCATGAGCATTCATGAGTAAGGCATGTAAAAAGCTAAAAAGTGACGCCAAGTGATAAATTTGATTAGTAAACAGAAGTGATGGATTACATTTAAAAAAAAAAATTATATGTATTAATAGTGTTATTGTATATTGTCAACTTTAGGCTAATGATATATTATAACCTTATATAAAAGAAGTCACTCTTTATATATATATATATATATAGGTAAGAATGTTTTATGAATGAAGTATATTACAAAACGTCGCAATCTCTCTCAGTTAAACATCATTTTATGAAGGTATGATATTGTATTTACTTTATAAAGTATTATAGTATTTCTAAGTAATTTACATGTATAAAATATAATAGGAGGATTATTTTGAACAACAATGGAGAATCTTAACAATGAAATTCGTAACCTAATTTCATCTTCTGGACATTCTTGTTCCAAGGCAGTACTTGAAATGGTATCCCAGCAGAAACAACAATCTGATGTTTCTACAAATTCCCGTTTGTATACCTTAAGAACCAGATTTAACAGCTTTAATATGGGAAAACTATCAAAAACCAACAATGTAAGAGCTATGCATGAACTACTGTGTAAACCAGTTTCTGTAAAGATAAAAAAATTACCAGAGTTGGAATTAAACAAAACATCTAAAATAAGGCATAAAATACAGAAAAACAAAATAAAGCAAATTAATAAAATGACAAAAGGAAAAGCAAAATTTAAGCAAAATCAGGTTGTAAGTCAGCTGCATGGAAATAAGAATGTTCAACCCCAACCTGTGTCAGCTTGTGAAACAGTAACATCTAATAATCATAATTCAAGCTCAGAGGATTTATTAAACAGTATTAAACAGCCATATATAAAATTACATAGAATCGATGAAGTAATTAATAAAATAGCACAGACATTTGCAAAAGTAATTCCAAATAAAGAATATAATACAAATGTACATGAAGGTCATATAAAAAAAACTCAAACTGAAATAAATGGAAAACCATCAAACATTGATATAGATGAATGTCTTGAAAAGAATAACTCTGAAACTACAACATCTAATCCAGATTTAGATGATACTTTGCAACCAAATCATAATGACACATCTGATTCTGAGACTGATATTAATAAAAATGCTAGTAATAGAACTTTTAGAAGAAAACGTAAAATTTTCTGTGACGACGACGACGATGATGATGAGAGTGATAATGTATATAAAGTATCTTCAGGAAATACAAAAACATTAAAGTTAAATATATCAGAGAAAGAAACAAAAGATTGTGTAGCTAATAAAGAAGTTAATGCTGTTAACATCAGGCCAGTATCGGTAACAAAACCACTTCAAAAGTTAAATGTTTCTGATAAATTACATAATCCTTCAAATGAACAAAATTCTCGTTGTGGTAATGTAAATAAAATGCAACAACAGGATAATGTTTCCACTTTTGTGCCTTCAAATGTTATACGGAGTACAGAAAGAAATGTGTTTCAAACATTAAATAATGAAGACATTCAAAACCAAATTGAAGAATCATTTATTTCAGATAAAGATTTAAAAGCAAAATATAACTTGTTTAAAGATTTAAGAGTTTGTTTGGTCAAGTTTGATGATATAAAATGCTCTACAGTTAATAAATACTTAGATTTAGAAGATGAATTGCTAATAAGAAAATATATGAATGAATTAAACAATTCTGGGTGTGCAAATGTACAACGGTTCTTACTTGATAATGAGATGGAATTTGAAGAAGAAAATGAAAAAATAGATATTGTTGAATTTATGAAAGATGCACCGATCTTAAACTCAAACGTTTCTGAAGTTTTAGAGAATACAAGAATAAAACAGGAGTCAGATTTAAATAATCAGGAAATTTCTGAAGAAGTATCTTCAGTATATTCTGCTGAATCTACACCATCTTCTCCAATAAAATCAGTCGCTAAAGCTTCTAAATCGTCAGGTGTAATAGAAAATATCATTAAGGCAGGGCAATCAGGAGATAGATTACATAGTCCTATGGTTAGTGAGGTATATTTTCCGAATAAAGAATTATCAATAACATCGATACGTCAATGTAGTCCTAAGAAGACAAGTAATAGTGTGAAAATAATGGATTCAGAAAGTGTACAGACTAATGCATATAACATCACCTTTTCCAAAAAACCTGAAAATAATGAAAAAGTACTTATCTCTGGAAGAAAGATGTTTGTAACCAAAATACATGCTCAAACTGTAAATATCATAAATCCTAAAGTAAATACGAAAAAGAATATTTCAGCTTGTCATTCCACAATTGTTAGTCCATATAAGCTTAGAAAACCTGTGGATAAAGAAGATAATAACCATGGTATTAGTTATAAATGTATTGTCTGTGATTGTGTCTTTGAAAGTTATTCTATTTTGCAAAATCATTTGATTAAACACAGACAAAAGCAAAATAATATTCCATCAAATACACCAGAAGAATCTATTTCAGTTCATTCTGAAAATTCTGAGAATCTTCAAAAAACAGTACCTTGTACTTCAGAATTTAAAAAGACAGAATCACTACAGCTTTGTGAGCAAAGTACTTCGCAAACAACGTCATCAAGTAACGCTCATGAAAGGAATAAACCACAAACTAAAGGTACTTCAACGCAAGATTTACAAAAGAAGAAAAATTATTTTTCAAAACAACGATCTAAGTTTATCGATACGCTTTGGAAACCAAGCGAATGTACTATTTGTTCAAAAATTTTTCCAACAGCAACTGATTTAGCAGCTCATATTTTCTTGCACACAGAACATGAATTGCAAAAAGCTTATGAAACTGCCAAACAAAAAAACAGCAACAAAGATGAAGAAACAAAAAGTGAGAAATCTAAACAGACTACAAAACAGTCAGATAATGACAAGAAGATAATGCTCACAACTGAAAAACCTTCAGAGGCTGTTAATAAACAAGAAAAATTACCAGTTGTACAGCAATCTAGTGGATCATTAAGAACAATTGTATCGATAGTAACAACATCAACGACAGCAACAACATCAACAATAGCAACAACATCAACGACAGCAACGACATCAACAATAGCAACAATAGCAACAACATCAACGACAGCAACAATAGCAACAACATCAACGACAGCAACAACAACAGTACCATCAAGTACAACGATAACTGTTACTGATACTTTGAACATAAATAAGTCACCCGTTGCAAGCGGAAATAGTTCTAAAGAATTACAATTGCCTTCGATTAAAAGTAAATTAAAAAAGAGGAAAGAAAAGAAATCCTTTAAAATATGTAATTGCCATAAAGAGACAGAAATTAATAACAATTGTTTGAAGATTGAAATAGTTCTACTTTGTCACACTTGTAATGTACTATTTAGAAGCATGAACTGTTTTGACAACCATTATGATCTTCCTGAATATGAATTGTGTCGTGCAGATCGTGCTCATAGCAGTAGAACTCCAAATTTATTGTGTGTCACATGTAGTAAAATGTTTCCGTCAGTTCAAGATGTACGTCGTCACTTAGAGAGTCATGCCCGAGTTAAGCGAAATTTTACAATGGATTTTCGATGTAAAATTTGTAAAGTTCTATTTATTGGAATTGGAGCTCTTTTTTATGTTCATTGGTCAAAACATCTGCAAGATCCTTATTGGAAAGCTGATGAAACAACATTTCCAAAAAATTCAGTGGTACATTCACAACCAAACCAGGATGGAGACACTTCAAATACATCTAAAGAGAATTTCATTCAAGTAGCAGAATACATTTGCAATAAATGCAAAATACCTTTTGTCACTGAAACTGACTTGAAAATACATAATTTAAAATGTGTGACATCTAATAATAGCTGTAATAGTAATGCAGAGAGATCTTTAGAAATAGAAGTACATTGTAGTTTATGCAATGATGTTTTCACTGAAAAATTAACATTTTATAGACACGTGAGAAACAAACATAATTTTATCAGCGAACCTCAATCCGTTTGCGTATCTCTCACCTTAATCAAAACGGCATATATTTGTAATGTTTGCATGGAAGTATCTGAAAGCATGGAGGATTTTGAGGATCACTGGTTAAAACATAGCACAGCTACTGTCTACTTTACTTGTACATATTGTACAAAATCATATTGCAATGGTTTGAATGCTTTCTTAGAACATGCTAGGATGCATCAAGTTAATGTGAAACAATATGTACTGTCTTGTAAAGTAGATTATGAAAATACTGAATTCATTTGTAAACACTGTAATATTGGGTTTCAGTCTGAGAAAGACTTTAATGAACATAATATTATTCATAAACTAAATCAAGTACAGAATTATAAAGATGATCAAGTACAGAATCAGAAAGATTCTGTATTACATCCGAAGAAGAACCAGATTTCTGATCTTTCGACGATAACAGAATTAGTTGGTGAAAAACAAAAGGAAGATAATACAAGTCAATTAACAGAACAGAGAAATGAAGTTCATCCAGTATCAACTGATAAAGATGAGGATAGGCAAAAATTAATTAATATATTAGAAGGAACGGATGATGATTCTGAACCTGAGTTAACGATAGATTGGATAGAGATACCAAAAGAAGAAGATAAATTATCAGAAAAAGGAAGAGATAAAGAAAAACAAACTGCATTGGATAATGAATTAAATACATCTTCCATTGTACAACGTCCTACAGTTTTAAAAAGTAGTACAGTTAACACATCTATAAAAGATGTAGTGCAAACACCTTCACAAGCATCTTCTAAAAATATTGTTCCAACATATTCCCAAACTAATACTGAAAATCCAAAAAGAAATGTTTTGAAAATTCCAGTGGTAACAATAGAAGACAAGTCTGAAATTTCAAAACAGCCAGAATGTTTAAACGTGCAAAGTACCGAAAATAAAAATGCTTTTGATTCAACTAAAAGTCAAGAAGAGCCTGTAGCATTAAAGAAAAATAGTCCTCCGAGACCAAGACAAGGATTCTTAAGAGTAAGATCTCTTGCAGAACTTACAAATCAGACAAAATCTGTACAAGCTGAACAGAGTAAAAGTCCAGAACCGTCTAACTTTATCGTTCTTCACAATCCTTTAATCTTCGCAAAATGTGTTACACCTGCTACTACATCAGTAATAACCAACCAACAATCGAAGCAAACACAAACGCATGCAAATCAAGACAAAAGTTTAGGTGATGTTATGCAAAATTCAACATCAGCGTATCATAAAAATTTACCTGCTTCCAACATTACTCGAACAGCCTTAGGTACATCACCTTTTGTTCAGAAAAGTGTAGACGCTTTTACTACAGCAGCAGCAGGTTGTTCAAAAGCACAAAACCAACAAGTAAGAGATGCAACGCCTCGTTTTACGAGTATACCTTCATGTATAAATATCCCAAATAATACACGAGGTATAAATCCACTTACTTGGTATCTTCCATCTCCACAAATAATCGCAGCATCAAAGAATACTTTTATTCACAATGGACAACGTGTAGTTGCAGAAAAAAGATGTAACGATGATAATTTGATGACAACAGGCCAAGCTACTACAATTAACAACAATCAGAATTCTAAAGAGTATCAAACTACTTCACCAATTATTTCTTATCAATATCCATGCTTTGTTGCCACTAATTCAAATAATGGTAATGAAATGCAGCAAAAAAGTCAACAGATGGGGATTAATCCTTTAGGTGAGGCTCCTAGCTTTTATTATAAAAATCCTGTTAGTAGTACTGGTGGGATGTCGATAGTGATTAATCAGACTACAGCTGCTGTGCAAAATGTGCCCACAATAAATGTTTTGCGACAGGAACAGCAACATGGGGAAGGCACAACAATTTTGGACCATTCGTATGCACAACAAACACAGGTATGTAACGCATATTGATTCTAGCGATCAAAGTATGTATTTCATGTAATTTATTGTTTTATGATTTACAGGATCTAAGTAATTTTTCGGCATCAAATAATGTTTATCAAATGGTAAATGAACAAGAAATACCAAACGTAGAAACTAGTGCTTCTTATAAAGTTAATCTACAACCACAAATACTGATTTGTGTTTATTGTCCAAAAACTGTTTATTTTTCATCTATTGAACTGCTTGAATTACATATGAATATGAATCACAATTTCGTATGTAATACTTGTGGTCTACGTTTGTACAGTTTTGATAAACTAAACATTCATAAATTGAAGCACAATTTTATTTGAGAAACACATATTTTTCAGTGAAATGTAAGCGTTATTTACATTAAATTAGATCTAAGATTAAGTACTATGGACATATGCAAATGATGTTATTATCAAACACCTTTGTATATTAAACTTTCACAGAAACCTCTACAGTATAGATTATGATAGATCTAGTAAGGTATTGAATATTTTATTTTAAACATTAGTTAGAATATGCACTTCATATTCTTTGTATATCAACATTATACATATACAGGGTGTCCCGCGACTCATGGTCAACCGATTAGGGGGCGATTCTACATGTAAAAATAAGTCGAAAAGAAAGAATAAAATTTTTACATGTAGAATCACCTCCTAATCGGTTGACCATGAGTCGCGGGACACCCTGTATACCTATATACAAATTGATACATGCAATTATATCTAATACCAGATTACTCCTGGCATTTTTAAATGTGTTAATGTTATCTTTTTTTCAAAAGAAAATGTTATTCCTCCTCGTTTGTCTTAAATGTTACATCTAAGTTATTGTATAAGATTAAAATTTTTAATAGCTTTTAATTTGAAATAGATTGTGTATGAAGAACACTTGATTTCTATTGTACCATGACATCGGAAACCAATTTTGAACAATGTATTACCCAACACAACAGAACATCTGAAAGTGCAAGTGTTGTTATTTTTATAACTCTAAAAGATTTTTAACTGTAAGAATTATTATATTATTGTATACTCCCAAAGCGAATATGTTATGAATTGCTAAATAAGAGTGTCAAGGAAGAGACGTTATGGAAGGAAATAAAAAAATCATATGAACGCGAATGACAATGCGTATGCTTGTCTTCTTTATTCGGCACTTTGAGCATTTTATCTTGTTCTCGTTTGTATCTTTTACAATAATCATTGTTTTAATTATCGCAATCGATAGAAATGTATTTAATAGGGGTGTACATCACCCCGTAGGCTACTCAATTTTCAATCTGTTATATCTCGAAAACCGAGCTTTAGATTGAAAAATGGTAAAAGACTTTTCGATTCATTTTATAAATGTTATTTATTCTGCTTTTGTTGTGACTACGACTTGCGGCTGACGTTTCAGCTTATTAAGTATTATGCCATTGGTTGCTAATGTACGATTGTATGCAATTCAGGCTACCCTTAAAAACAGTAGTGTTCCATCATTATTGACTATATTTACCCTCGTTCTTGAATACAAATGGTGAAAGGCTTCTCCCTCAATCTTTCACCTTCGTATGGATAACCGGTTGCCGAAGTTCTCGTTGATGTTTTAATAGTTATTATTTTTTGAATAAATTGTTACGTTTGGAAAACGTGAAAATCATCAAAGAATGAAAATCAGAACAATTTTCACTTAACGGTTAATTAAGAGAAGCTTAAATTGCACCTGAGCGATTCAACAAAGAAAGGGAGAAACATAATCTTCCAGACGTTCGACTTCCGTTTTGAAGTATTCAATTTCATACATAGTATATATTATCTACTTTTAAGAAAAACGTTTATATGACCCTATTATACATGTCGATTATATTATAAAAAAAAAAAACATTGGATGATGTTAACAGAAAAATGCTTATGTTTATTTCATTGTACCCAGATTGATTTATCTTTTTCATTGGAATTAAATGCAAAGTACTTTGTAAAAGTTATATTTGACTGTTATAATTCATTGTAATCTCTAAAAGTTATGACTTCAACTTAATTGTTAAGTTAAAAAGTTTGTTCTAAATCGCATACTCGATAGGGGTCAATCGTGTTCTTATCGTAATGAACGGTTGCATATGTGTTAAGGCAAGCCCTACATAATTGCTCGTGTTTCCGGTTTCCGGTTTCCGCGAGCGTACCGTGTATGGGTACACTTTTCTTTTTTTTTTTTTTTTTCATTTATCCTAGAATTTGGCACGTGATTCACGCAACACAATCTTCCGTTGTGTTTTAACTCGAAGAACAAAAATGGTATCGCGTATTTGTTACAATACGGGGTACACGATACCTTCGTGTAAGTACAAAGCTATCTATACGTTTGTTTATTGGAATTTACACTTGTCTCGAAACGAAAAGGTGAAGGCTACTCGTGAACGTCGCTATATATTTTAATTTTCAGATTAAATAATTAAAACGTTACTCCTAAAGATCTTGAATATTTAGGGGCTCAACGATGATCGACATTACAAATATGGGAATAGAAAATTTCACCACTGTAATTAATCATTCGAATTTGGAGATTTTGAAATACATAGCACGTCCACTGTTATAAATAATCCTACCTTAATGATTAAGTATCACTACGAAAGAGCTGAATCTCCCTTCAGGGATCGATTTCTAAATATCGTATCCTCTTTCGTACGGTTTAATAATAATAATACTGATATAGGTCTTTGACGTTTATCTCGAGCTTACAATCTTTTCTATCTTCAGCGAAATCGTCGTTCTTGCGAAAGTACACAGAAATTGATTATGTGACTATCAGGAACAAAGAGGAATTTAATGAAAGAAAAAACGAGCTACAATTGAGGATACATTGAAAGAAACTCTGTTAGTCTCTATGAATCAACGAAGATTGCAAGACACGGTAATTAATCACGTTTCTACAAAATGAGCACGAGTATATCGTGCATGGGAGGGGGAAGCGTAGAGTGGATCGTTTATTCTAGAAAGATTCTTTGTCACGTGTTGTTGAGCCAACGGAGGTTTAGAGAATTTCTATCTCTCTGTCGTTACATCGATTAACATAGACAGACCTCCGTGATATATATATATATTCATAACGCTACCGTTTGTTTACATTAAATCCTACAGACTAGACGTATTATATCGGTGGAAAAATATCGTATTTTATCATATCGGAATATCATAAATTTGCACGTAATACATTGGACGTTCTATATCCAGCAGCTTAACCTTCCCTCACGAGTACGAAAAAGTAGGTTGAGCGACGGAAAACCCTTGACCCTACTATTCTCCTTTTAACCGAGTTTCCGGTTGGAAAAAAAATTCCTTTGCCATCTTCTTCCTCTTTTTCTTTATCCTTTTCATGTTAAAAATGAAGGAAAAATGATTTTCAATGAAAATCTTTGAGAAACTCGAATTTAGAGATTTAGAAAACTGAAGATTTAAAGATCCAAAATTATAGAAGATGAAATTTAAGAAATTGAAGATTTATAGAATCCTTAGAGGAATATAAGTTTAGAAAAATGGAAAATTCGACTTTTTTCGTGTTACAAATGAAAATAAAATGGTTTCGAGTAGCGAAGCTCATGCTGCTGCCTTTAATTCTCACAGCTATGCCTGTCTCATCACTCCTCATCTTCCTTCGTTCCTTTAAACTGGACATCAAGAAGTGGTTGCACCATTCTTAGCAATTTATACCATCTAAATCACCTAGTCTACCTTGTAAATAAATTATCATCTAATGTATATCGTGTCTCTCGAAAATTATTGACGTGTACGTACATACACGTTACACGATCAACTGGCCAAAGGTCCTCGATCTTTCTTTCTTTCTTTTTTTTTTTTCTTTGATCGATCGTTCTATCTATACAGAGTCACGCAAAAGATGACGTCCGTTCGTGATTTGTACAAAAATCAATTACCTTATAAACGGGCTTAATAATTTGGGTCCTCGTTGAATCAGTCTGAAATGGGGACATTGTTACCTAAGTAGACTAGAATGTACAGAATAGAGCTGTACTCTTTTCTTTCATTTTATATTAAATCGTGAGCAAACAGTATTATCTCCCAAATTTTCTTTTCTTTTTTATTGCTTTGAAAAAAAATTTACCATTCCATAAAATAGCTACATGATTATAAAATATGGAATATGAAAATTTTTTTCTTTTTGTAATTTGATGATGGCAAAATTGATTGAGCAACGTTTTGAAAGCGTACAGTTCTAATCTGTCGTAGGGTTTGTAGAAATACGAGAACCTAAGTTAAGACTATTATTGCGATTTCAAGCTTAGATCTAATCTTTGTGTTCTCTGACTTTTGTAATACTGTTGTTTCGATTCAATACTGTGCGTTCACAGTTGTAGGTTTTAAATATATTTTAGTCTAAAGGGAGTAAAAGTTTCTCAAAATTGGTGGAAAAGCTTGACAATGAAAAATTGGTGACCACCCAATACTTACATAATGAAAAAATATATATAAATCACTTTATTTTTTAAGGGTAAATTAAGTACTTTGATAGAGATGAGACTCAACCAATTAACGTCTCGAAAGTCATCTTTTGAAACGCGTTCGTTGGTGCAGGAATGAATGGAAACTGTGTAATTTACATATAAATGACGTGTCAAAGGATAATTAACTAGATTACCTAGACAAGAGGGAATGCATTTAAAGTGTACTTCACGATCCACTAACACCCACGAATTACGCTAACTAAAATCTTATCGTAATCTTAATTGTAAGTTTGAATGGTTTATCATTTCCAGGGATAAAAATCTTCCAAACGTCGGACGAAATTTCATCGATTTGGCTTAAAATAGGTTCTCCGTGAGTAAAAAGAATCCTGGTTGAACCATTTGCAAATTTACAAGTACCAAAAAGGCGTACCTTTAAAATTCCTCAAATTTTCTCGACACGAGTAAACAGGACGAAAAAACTGATCTTCCATTGAAGAGATCAGCTCCAATACTCACATAAAAAATGGGCAGTGGTAGAAAATTGTACGACCGGTTGACAGGAGTGAAAAAAAAAGAGTGAAAAAGTAGTCGAGCTCGTAATTGATCAGACGGGGTTCGATTGTCCTCCTATTAATTCCTGCTCCTTGAACGTTTTTCCATTCTCAAAATCTACTGACCGCTTCGTCGTCGGTCACAAAGTAGTTTGAATTCTTCACGGCCGAACTGTACATACTGTACGTAGGACTGCAAATAACTAATCCTGTGGAACAACCACTAAGCTCTTTCTCATTCGTAACCGAACCGTGTCTGGAGATCGTAGATGTCCTTCTGTCCTTCTTCACCAAAGTCATTCGACAGTCTTCTGGACGTAACGGCATCGAAGGATAAGTCGGTTGTCTGGCCAAGGTGGTCAAAGTCCTATCTCCTGTGTCGTTGAAACTGCGCAAACGTTTGAACGTACAATCGGAGACGATGTTCAATGACCATTATTTTAAGCTCAACTAGTGCTAAATCATTATCATTATCCACTTTGTATCCTTAGTATAATTTGTGCATTATAAATACCTGTGATGCCTGACGATGCCCCTCTTAATCCTACAGTGCTCGTTTCCGCTTTGTCCCTCCAAGGCCGTTCCATGGGTTTTGCAAGCCTCCACGCCCATAGGAACCGGCGACAGAGAACCAGGTCCATACGAACCGCTACTCTGCCTTCTATCCAAAATATGGACAAGCTCCACCGACGGTGTCGGTGAAAACGTGCCCTAAATAGATACATTTTAACAAACGTCACCTCTCCATCCATCCATCCTAATGTTTTCAAAACTTCATCCACAAGAAGCAAATTATAATAAGAACAAAAAGCAGGAAAAGCAGGTGTTACCGAAGTGTCAGCATCCATCAGGGTACAGGATGAACTACTTAGAAAAAAAAAAAAAAAAATCTCCTTTTGCACAAACGTTTAATTCAGCAGCTGTACATAACTCAAAACAAGTACAAAATAAAAATAAATAAATAAAAATTGTGCTACACAGAGGTGACGTTAAAGTCGCTCACCTGCAACGAGGGTCTCCTTAACGTTCCACCCTCCATACCAACCAACTTCACCCCCTTCACGTTCTTCTTCACGTTGATGGTAGTCAACATGTTGTCTGGAACAGTTTGGAACTCCGTGTTGCTTCTGTCCACGATACTGATCCTCTCATTTTCTCTTATCTTTTCATTTCCTGCGGTGGCATCGATGCTCTTTGTGTAATGGGGCCCTGGTGTCACGGGGGTCGTCACCGTTGAATTCGTTGGAATGTTTACAATGCCGGCGTTGTTACTCGAAGAAATGACAGGCCGATCGGTTGGTAACAACATCTGGCCCATAGAACCACGTAGATTTCGAACGCCCAAAATTTGACCCCGGGACATTTCGTTGTTTTGTATGGGAGCGTATTGATTCGGAGTGGGAGTATGTCTGCCACTCATGGAACTCGTGTGCATCGTGTTTCTTTGTAGAGTCTGGAGGTGTTGGAGGCTTTGGTTTGCTTTCTGAACTGCGATTCCGATATTATTCACCTTTGCGTCCTTATCGAATGGGTCACCGATTATCGTACCAGTTTCACCACGGTCCGTCGTGTCATCCACGGAATTGGTGGTGGTGCGGTCGTCCTCGTAGCTGCCGGGACCGATACCGTCGCACGAATCCATTCCTGACGTTGATTTCTGAAAGAAAACGAAGACAACGTACACGGTGTAATTAATTCAACGGAATTAATTTTTAATACAAAAAGATTTACGTTAACGGAAGAAGTGTCCATCAATGCAGCGCCAGAACTACTTTGCACAACCCCCGACTGATCCTTCGATTTTCCTGGCGAATAAACGCTGAGAACATCGCAACATCGAGGAAAATAACCCTTTCCAAGGAGATTTCTCGTGAAGAAACTCGTGATTAGCTGGGTGAACAGAGCAACCAACATGGCACCGGTGCGAAATGGAAATTTCTGTGTCTGCGTTTCAGTATCGTAAAAAGGGTACTCGAATAGCGCTGGTACACCAAGACCCTTCTCTCCTCCTGAAACATGAACGTATAATTTTAAATAACTGTTGCACGTTTGATCAGCCCTATCAGGGTAATTTTGAAACACCCTAATTATACCCGAGACGTAGAGAAACTCATTAAAATCTGAGAATATTTCTCCATTAGTTCTCCTCGTTAATTACTATTCTTCTCAAAGAGACGTTCATTATTCCTTACCACAAAGACGTAAAACGACAGCTATGAAATATCCGGCTAGACATCCGTAAGTGTCGACCAAAGAGGGCCAATGTACCACGGTTAACAATTGAGGGAACAGTACTACGTAAACAAGATCCGAGCAGAGATACCTTTAAAACAGAGAATTTCCACGTTAATTAGTTTGCCTGACTAATTGCCGGGAATCGGTGAACCATCAAAGGGATTGATTAAAGCGGCTCTACTCACGACAGATAATAAACGCTGTCCACTGTGAGAGCAATTGAGGTCGACAGAACCGTGATCACTATTACAGAGATCCTGAGTATCCAGTTCAGTTCCCTTTCCGATGCCTTTAACAAAAAACGAGAAAGTAGAACAGAGAGAGAGAGAGAGACTAATTCGTTTTGTTCTTCTTCATTCCTGCTTTTTGTTTCTTCTTTTTCGCTGAAAGTTATTGGCACTCACCTTAGGTCTTAGCGTGAGTCTGTAAACGTTCCTAGAGAACATTGAACTGCTGGCTAATATACTTGAATCTGCTGAGGACATCACTGCTGCAGAAATTGCTCCCAATCCTGGTGATCAATTGTCAAACGTACAGGGTGTTTTAAAATAGAATTCCTCGTTGGAATTTAACTCACCCACAAAGGAGACCCACTGAGGCGTCAAGTAACGAAGTACAACTGGTAAAGCTGCGTTTCCGTCGTTCGCTAGCATACTCTTATTAAATCCCTCGACGGATGACCAATCGGTAGCCCGAGCTACGACACCAATCAACGCTGACGGGAATGCCATGATCATACAACCGAAAGTCGATGCTATCGAAAGAACCGTCGCTACCGACGTGCTTCGCATACTCAGGATTCTCTGGAAGTAGCCCTGAAAGAATCAGTTACGTACACACTCATAGAAATAATCATTCGATCTGTGATCGCTAATAAGAGACGTAGAATGTTTACTACCTGCCATGGTATACCGCCAAATACCAACAGCAACATTCCGTCTACCCATTCGCCGAGATCTTCGTTCTTTATTTCTCCGAGCCATTCACGAGGAGCCATGTTCTTCTCGAAGGATACGGCTGGATGGAGAACGGTGAAGGGTGCAGCCACCCCTAAGCCGATTATAATGCAGGCTAATTGTAGAGCATCGGTATACGCAACTGAATACAATCCACCGAACACGGTGTACCTACAATCGAAGGAACATCTTCAGATTTTATTGATTTCGACATGGAAAACCTCCTGAAACCATACCAGGTATACAAAGGATCGAGTGACGTATACGGGTAACAGGATTACCAGACTGTATTAATCGCTGGAATTTATCCTACCCGTTTTTATAACAACAATTTTACTTACATAGCAGCCAAAAGTGCCGAACCACAAATGCTGATACTCGAATCCAATCCGATCACCACTGTCAACGAGCTGCCCAAAGCTCTGAGAACAGCAGCGCACCAAAACAAGTCACCGCATAGTGCAGGTAGAAACAGGAGACCTCCGACACCGGCCCCGTATCTTTCTTGAAAAGGATCCAGCATGGTTACGTACTCGGCTTTTCTCATGGGTCGTACGAACAGCACCGCGCCTGTGACACCAATCCTCCCCGTAACATCAACAAAATTTTCATTCAATTAAAACCCTTCAACTGCCATCGATTTCTGGAGACGGTGTCCGATAGAAATACCAGTGATAGGACAGCAGGATAACGATTGAAATCCGCTTGCGGTAATGGAAAATGAAGGGTAGGTCCTTATCGGGTCGCGCTTTTAATTAGGCTTCGGTTAAGTGAAAGGCAAACTTCATTGCGAATGTATAACTTCAATTAATCGGAGTTCAATCGGGTCTGATTTGTATGGACGAGATAGGTGGGAGATAGGTGGGGGGAGGTGGGTACATCGTTAGCGAAAAGGGTTGAACATCCATTACTCGTTTCCATGGGTAAAAGTTGGTAATAAAATGATTCCTGGATAAATTGAATTTACGTACAGGCTGTGTTTGAATGGACCAATCGAGAGATTTTGTAATCGGACTATTGAATTCTTCAGGATTTGAAATGAAAAATTGGATTAACGCGTTAAATAGCATTGGAGTTACCAGTGATTAATTCTACAAATTTCATTCAATGAAAATAATTGAAAAATAAAGGCAAGAGGAAAATGTTAAAAATTCCATTCTATTGTTTATGTGGTAGGAAAAGATAAGACCTTGGAACGTATAAAGGATATATTTATCGAACGACGAATGTCCTCGACCTTGATAGTTCGAACGCTCATCATCGATCTAATTCTCTCTCTCCCTTCGTTGTATGGCAGTTAAAGGGTTAAGGTTACACGTTAACATGCTAATGCGTGCTAGAAAGTGTGGAGATCTCGCGTACCGAACAGTAGACTGATGCTGTAACCGAATGGCACTTGACACCAGGCTAATCCTCTGGTAAACATGACTTCAGCGGTCCCGTTCACGTAGGCGCCTCCAACCCAGGTGGCTAAGCATGGAGAACACCGTATCCTCGATTAATCTCCTTCGATTAAGCAAGAAATCGCTCTTTCGAGGGAAAATGTTAGGGGGTTAGAGACTGGTGATCTGGAAATGCCTCGCGAATTAACGCCGGTCAACTGTAAACTGTGACGTTTGAAGCGTTCTTTTATATTTCACAAAATTTCTGAACGAAATATTTCCGCGATGTTGGTAAACCGCGACGCGTACGTTGACCAAACGCGACTCTGTAACCGGGAATAATAAACGTCGAAACGCGTTCTCAACTGTTCTCAACTCATCGGTGCCACTTTCCATTCATTCGAAGCGAGCAGAGGATCGTATAATAGAGATAGTTATGGCTCGGTGGTGTATTTTCCGTGCCATATTTTCCTCGCGAAGCTTTCATTAAGGTAATGGAGGGATGCAAAAATGATTTCCACCGCGAGAAAATAGAGCACGGTTGAATGTAAGATGAAACGTTGCCGGTGGTGGTGGTGGTGGATGGTAAGAGGTTGCGTGGTGCGATGGAAAACGGGATGGGTGAAAAAGAAAGGGGGTAGTTTGTGTGTTGAACAGAATGAAAGCGCGTAAACGAAAGGAAATAAACGGAATAGAAAAAAAAAAAGGAAGCGAACTATGAATAAAATGGCCGATGCGGGGAACGGCCGAGCGAGAAATGCAATTGACGGGGTGACAAAAGAGGGAATTCCTTGCTGTTCTACTGCTGCTGCTCGATAAAAACATACACGTTCGAATGGAAAAAAGAAACAAAGAAGTAGCAGCAGTTTCGCGGGAGAAGATTTAAAAACAAATGTCTAAGAAATGCGAATAGATTTGCTATTAGAATATTAATTTGTTCGAAAAGTCAAAGATCCAACCAACGTATTCTGATAATCCTGATTAAGAAGATTCACTTCGAGCAAAGTTTCTCGTTCAACGGATTTAACCGACTTACAGTTTCGAGAAGAGCGAACAGATTTGGAAACCGTATTCTGATAATCCCAGCTATATTAGATAGAAATGGTTAAATTATTCAGACGTTTGTCGATGCGAGAACTCACCTATCAGGGTGAAGAAACCGAGAATAGGGCCGAGGCCACGATTCGCCAGCATCATCGCATCTTGCCCTTGTCGCGAGGGTTTCTTCTTCGCGATGGCTGCCCAAATTCCAATGCCCAATACCGATAGATAAAACACTATCACACCGATCACACCTGTCACGTACACCCCCATTGTTGAAACTTCACTTTTGTCCTTTTCTAGGGTAACTATGGAATCCCCTGTAACTAAATCGTTTCAACGTTCATTACGTAAGCAATTATAAGAGGGTGGTAGATGTAATAGGTAACAAAAAAAAGGAACAGCCCTGTGAAAAATTAAAACTTTTCCAATCGAGAACATTAAACAGTTATTAATTTTTCACGAAGCTTAAGGATACTGCCTCGCTTTGACCAATATGGATAATTAAGTAAAGGACCAATTCTAATTACTTGCGAATCTCAGAGACGAGGGGATGCTGGTGGTATTAAGAGCTGTCTCTCTGTTCACAGAGACATTCAAGATTGGAATCTGTTCGACACTAATTTTCCAGCTCCTCGTAACCAGCATCGATGGAACAATCATAATATCGCGATTGAACATTCGTCGAGCACCCTTGTAAGAGAGGAATGCTAATCGGTTTAATTCAAACAGCTGAGGAATCGAAACACTATTTTTCTTCCCCTTTCATTCCACTTACGCGTCCATTTCATTTTCTGCAATTTTTATTTTTCCAATAGGTACCGAGTAACCACTGTATAGTCGCTATTGATCCCAACCCGCCAGACAATCCAATAAAATTCGTACAGAAGGCTATCGTTTTTTATTTTTTTTGGTGGAGAGCTGACGTTTAAGCATCGAAAGGGTAGGAGAGGCAGGTAGGTTTGAAGCAAAAGTTAAAGCTCGGTAAACTTGTCGGGCAAACGGGTGGAAGAGCTAATCGACCGCGGCGGCAATTGCAGCGTGGATTAAAATTCAAGTGTGGCCCAGATATCGGACACGTTGGGTCGTCGGGTCATGACCTGGGGCCGGTGTACTCACGTAAAGTTCACTCGATCCTCTGTGCTCCTCTCGTTCGGCATTATTAATTCGTTCGTGAACCGGCTTGTTTTTTCTCCCTTCTTCTTCCTCTTCTTCTTCCTTTTCTTCTTTTTCCGGAGACGAGGGTGTGTTATTTTTCTCTCGTCGGTTACCTGAAAACGAGAAAATCGAAATCTAGTTCGAGGATTGAACATTGTACGAGAGTGTTCGATCATGAATACGCTCGACGAGAATTCTTTTAATTGGACTTTAGTGTTTTCGTCGAAGAATTTGAATGGAGGTAATGGAACGAGGTGTCGATTAAAAACTACCGACCTCGTTTCGAATGCGTTTACGAAGCATCATAGGATTTCTCTAATTACATCATTTTTCCAATTACAACCTCTCTGTGAAAATAACTGAACCTTGTTATTTGTATTTCTTATTGTACTAAATGCTATGTGCTAATTAAAAGCAGGATTTCCTGGAGAAATTTTCTGCTTATCTTTGAAAACGCGATTTCACATGTTCCATCTTTCATCTCGAGCCTTTTCAGCGACTTTCCTAGCTGGAAATTGCGATAAGAGAGTTAAGAGCATTCAGAAAGCATCTTCACAATTTTATGACGGTTTCAAGGCGAATTCGTTTAACCCTTTACATCGCGAGCGGTTGTGAAAAAAAAAGGAGCAGAAGAAAAGGCGCGGTTTTCTCGGGAAACGAAGCGGCAAAAGTGTCTCGTTTCGGAAAAGTCTTCGAAGAATTAAATTTCTTTAGAAGCTTTGGATTAATTTTTGAAAAATTTCAACTCGTTCAATTAATTCTTACAGTATCAAGCGTCTATCTTTCTTCACTTTTTTTTTTTTTTACTACCACTCTATTCCACCCTTTGCGGAAACCAATTAAAACGTTCGCATCCGGTGTTTGTAATCTATAGCCAATCAGACCCATCGCATTAAGCTCTCCAACTAGCTAAAACCAACAATCGATAAATCTACACGTCAACCTATACGATTGAACATCGCATATAAACATCACCGATGAAGAATAAAAAAGAGCAACGAATTAACGTAAATAAAAATGTCGAAAATAGAGAAACGGTAACATGCGATAATATCGTGTATAAAACCAAGCCACCTAACGGTTAACCTCGTATATAATTGTTACGAGAACAAAGGCTGGCTCGTTACTGAAATCGCTTACTAATTAAGTATAAAGAGAGAGTGAGAGAGAGAGAGAGAAATTAACGAGCAGAAACGCGGCGAGCCGCAAGCAGGAATAAATAGAGAGGTCGGCTCGTTATAAATTTGTAGAAAAGTCGCCGGATGAATTGGCACGGTTGAAAGCCCGTTTCAGTCTCGGTAGACCGCGAATCGTTTCTGAACCGGTTAAAAAAAGAAGGGACAACAACGGGAAAAGGGAAAGGAAAGGATAGAAGAAGAAAATGTGAGAGTCGAGGATTAAATGGTTTAAGAATCTGTCCGATTTGTTTTCAAGAAGAAAATCCACTCGACGAGATGGCTTGATCGTTTCAACATTTTCAGAAGCGGATATCCTCAATTGCAGGGATTGTTAGATGGAAAGAAGTGGGACAAGAGAAAAGAAAGAGAGAGATTGTTTGTCGTGCCACGAGATAGAAATTGGAAATGACAATGAGGATTGAATTAAATACTTTAAGGAAAGCACACAGGATTGTATACAAACCGCGACACGCTGTCAAGGAGTGATCTTTGTTTATTTTTACCATCACCACATGTCTCTAAATCCTTATTCTCTTCCTCGATCGTGGACCCTTTAACTATTTTACAATCTACCTTTAGGATTCGATAGGATGAATTACAAGCTTGCAGGTGTTACTCGAGGATTAAACGAAACCGAAGTTTAACCGATAAGAATATCGGAAATCTCATTGAAAAGCATCTGCGAATCGACTTTACGCGTTCATCCCCTCGAACTACGTTCCCTTCCCTAAAATCGATGAATCCCGCGACCTCTTCGAGGCCGAACGAACGAGAGTAAGCTCGAAAAGCGGAAGAAGTAGAGGCCAGTCGCAGGTTTCTCCAGCGGAAACGGAACAAGTTCGGTAACGATGGCGACTTACCGAGGAACACGCCTCTCACGTGAGAATCTCCATGCTACCCTCGCCTTTTTTCCTGCAGGATCGGATCGCGAGCAACCAAGTTCTTCCCGAAGGATCAGCTGTCTAGGAGAAGCGAAAGAAATGAAAAACAGAGCACCTTAGAAAAGAAATGAAGCGACGAGACGCGTGACGAATAAGGGTGTAGAGAAAATTGGCTAGTCTAGCGACACGCGGACGCTTTTAACAAGGCTCGTGGGCTCGCGGGCGACCCGCACGTGAACAGGCCGCGACAGAAGGGAGCCAGGCGTACGACTGAATCTACTCTCCAGATTCAGCATCCCGTACGGCTGATACGCTTTGCGCGCTGGACCGCCACCTTGCCAGGGGGTTGTGTCGCAGAGGGAGAGAGATAAAGATGGAAGCTCCCCGACAGATGAAGAGAAACAGGACGAGCGTGCTGGTTGAGCGTGAGAAGGAGAAGTGGAAAATGTTGAGGGTGAAAGAGAAGGATGGAGGAGAGAGAAATAGAGAGGGGAATTATTTGAGGGAGAGCGAGACCTGGTACGAGGATGTTGGCTCAGCGCGAAAAGGAGAGGGTAGATGTAGAAAATGTTAAGGGTGGAAGAAGGAAAGATGAAAATGGAAACTGTGAGAAACGAGAGAGGAATGAAAGGGTGTTGAAAAGAGAAGGATGAGTACAGGTGGAAAATGTTAAGAGGAAGATAGAAGCTGAACGTGGAAAAAAGAGAAAAATGAGAACTGTGAAAAAGAGCGGAAATGTGAACGAGGAATGGTAGCGATGGAAAATGTTGAGAAGTAGTGCCTGAGTAGGAAAATCAGAATGATAGTTGTGAAGGAAGAGAGGAGAGAAGTATAAGTGGAAAATATTGAGGAACGGAGGAAAGATAAACGTAGAAGCAACTGAAAGGAGAAAGAAAAGCGTAATAAGAGGGACGACTCGACAAGATAAATGCAAACAGAGGGAGAAAATGTTGAGAAGATAGAGGTAGAAATAGAATTGGCTAGAAAGTTGGATGAAATGAAGTAAATGGAAAATGAACACCGGACGAATGAAAATCCGGTTAGAAAACTTTTTCGTAAAAGCCAAAAACTGTTACAGTTGGATCTGTTTTCGTAGAAAGTTAAAACAGTGCCAGAAATGCAGAAAAATTGTGAAATTAAAAGGATGCGCTAAAAAGTGGAAGGTAACGCGTGACGAAGTTAGTGAAAACAAGACGAATAAAGAGATATTGCAGGGAAAAAGCAAAAGGTTAGGTAGAAAAGTGACAGAAACCTATGGTGAGATAGACAGCCGAGTGAATGGAAGCTAATACGAGAAAAGACTGACAGATAGACACAAAGAGGAACGGATAAACTAAAATGTGGACTGTGAAGCTGATAGAAGTAGACTACGCTTGAAAGCGGAAAAGCTTCGTACGTCAAACGAAATGACGATAGAACATAAGTATCGAGTATACGGGATAAGCGAAGGAACTTAATATTACTATTATTCGATTATTATCGCTTCTGCTTAGAACAGTTGAAATTTTTACTGATTCAAAAATAAATATGAAATAAATGGAGTACCAGAATACGCTATATCCAGGAAGAAAGGGTATGAAAGCAGAGACGCGACAAAGGGAAAGATCAAGGGAAACGGCGACAGAGCTGAAAACTGCTTCGAAACAACGAAAGGGAAGCAACGAACCTTCTAAATCTAACAACGAGACCAACAAAGACGCGTCCTTTGGATTAGGCTTAACGCGACAAAGACGAACGTTCTCACGGCGGATGAAACGGATAGACAAAGTGACGATGACGAAGATAGAGAGAATTGTGTGCAGAAACTACGAACCTCGGCTAAAACGATAGTCGAAGAGCGGAGCAAAGATAGGAGAAGCTAGAGAGAGATCAAGTTGAGGATAGAGATGAAAGTAGGAAAACGAGGGTGGATCAAAGAGCGAGAGAGACGGTTTTATACAGGGGGTTGTGCAGAGAGGGTAGGTTGAAAAGAGGGGTAGAACATGGAGAAAGATAAAAGGAAGACCGGGAGAGGTTACGATACAAATAGAGAAGGGTCGTACGCCACACGAGACTGAGAGAATCCAGAGGGATCTGCGTACAGGGTGTTAAGAAAGTAATGGTCATGGTTTACAATAGTAATTGAGAGACTGAAATTAAAGATGATCGATTGAAATAAAAGTTCATGGGTTTACGGAATGATCCAACATCAATAGAGACACCAATTTTGGCTGTTCATCTTGCCGTATCCCTAAAGGTGAATGGCTAATCAAATTACCCGATGAGAAGCACCGCTTCAGAGGCGACAAGTGAGCTCGAATTTAGGTCAGCCCTGAAGAAATAAACAGACAAGTAGTGTAACATCAACCTATATATCATAATACTATATTAATTTTGTAGGGTGGCAAGTGGAAAGTTTCGATTGAAAAATGATACGCCCCTATTTTGATATAATTACCATAATGATCATACTAATTATTAGCCAACTTAAAATTTAGACTTTCTGTCAAAAACTCAACGAATGACCGAAAAAAAAATTCTTTTTTTCCCACTTCCAGCCTGACCGGAAATGGCCGAAAAGGGGTTGGCTCTTGAGCGAATCTCGCTCTAGTTCACTTTAGCTTGTTAATTGCCTATCTTATGCCAGAAATAAATGACAAATTAAGTGAAGATAACCAGATCGAATAACTTGACGAGGAGAGTGAAAGAGAAGAAAGGTGTTGACGCGTGAGAGGAAACTGTTAAGGAGTACATATAGAGGATTAAAGAGAACGAGAAAAGACAACTGGCGGGCAAGAAGCATCTTGAACGGAAGAAGAAGGAGGACATATGTAGAGGTTGTAGAGGGGAGGTCGATGAAAGAGGCAGACTCGTGCAAAGATCCGCTCACCGGCCGGAAATCGAGGCTCGTTGGAGTGTTGGCGCAACGGGAAGAGGAAGAAGGGTGGCGAGCCAAGGCGAAGAGAGGAATTAAGCGGTGCGTTAGCGGGGCCAGTGGACGATGAAAGAAGGACGGGAATGGTGTGGCACCAGCGACGGAAGTTGAAGAATCAGATTAAAGAGCTAGAAAAAGACGCGCGTACTCAGACTCGCGGGGAGTTGAAAAAATGGGAGAAGAGGGAGAGGGATGGATAGACGTGAGATATTTTTCGAGAAAAGAGACGCGGCAGCATCCGTGAAACGGATGTAGGAGGTGAAAATAGACAAAGAGAGAGAGCGATCCACGTGCGGGGGCAGTATTGATCTGTTCGCGCAAACTCCTGACCCTACTGACTTAAGGTGTGTCTCCACTGGTGGACCAATTCTTCTTTCTAGCAATTGCATTTTCCCTTATTATTTATCATTTATTCATTCACGATCTACAGATATCTAAAGCGACTTCGGAAAAAAGGACGTTTTCACGTAACAGTAAAATCAGTGGCACTTGGTGCCATGACCTTTGTCATCGTTGTCATGACACTTGATTTCTTCCGAATCTTTTACTTCCTGTTGACACCATAAAAATTGCTATCAGTTTGTCGTAAGTATTGTCATAACAATGGATTTCGTGTCAGGACACTAATGCCACGAAATCAAAGCGTTTACCGGTGAACACGCACCTTTACCTTAACTCCGAGTCTCTCCCCTTCCTATTCCAACATCTCCTCCAATGTCGCCCCTATTCGCGGCTCCCGAATAGCCGTCGACGCTAAAAGCGCTCCGCCATGACCCTGGTCATCGTCCTTCGCAATCGACACCGGGAAACGCAACGCAAACGATCATTCCCCTGAACCAATTTTCAATTGACGAGCAACACGAATTGTGTCAACGGAAATTGTTGATTAAACTGTTGTTTCTCGCGAATCAGACAAGGGAGAGACAATTTGATGCCGACATGCGACAGGAGAGTGACGACGATCGTGCCATGCTGTTCCTCTACCTTAGGGATAGAGATTGGGACAACAACATGATGTTTCAGCATTTAAATAAACACGTTCAAATCACCCTATATTTTAAAAATATACCGCGAACGATTTTGAAAGTTGAAAAATTTCTAACGAATTTCAGCCCTGCGACACGGTTTTCTGCCAAATAGGATATTTTTTTTCAACAGCCGATAATTGGAGGCATCGCTTGTTTAAAGTTAACGAGGTTTTTTTTTTTTCCAAGGGCAGACAGCGATTCGGTGCTGAGAGCCAATTAAATACCGATGGGAGATCGAGCAGGAACAAGTGCTCGAGAAATTCACCGAAAAATATTGCACCGAAGGAAGATGAAAAAGGAGGAAATGTGAACGAAGGTCGAAATTGGAGATCAAGACAAAGTGGAACGATCGAAAAATTGAAGAGAAATTGGAAACGATCATTCGTGAAGTGTTGAAGGAAAAATATTTCTTAAGGAATTTGTCAGTTGAGAAGGATTGATTTTTTATTCTAGTTGAATAGGAGACACGTTCTTTCAAAATAAAATCATTTTTAGCGTTTTGTAAAATTATTGTAAACAAAAATTATATATTTCCTTTCGGTTAAATAATATTACCTTATATATCTACTAAAGCAGATCAAATAAATTACATAGCGTAAATAAATGAACATGCTAATAGAGTAATAATAAGAAAATAAATATGAAAATCTCCTTTTAACAAAATAAGAATCAACTTTTTCCTTCATCATTCCATTGAATGCACAATTGTTATTTTTTTCAAAATGATTAACTTGTCGGTTTAAAATAGATATCCCTAGTCAACGTCGAAGTATAAGAAGGCATTTGAACCATATTACTTATCCAAGGATTGTCGTGATTCGAAACGTGGGAAGTTGCGACTATACGCGATGTTATTGTTAACATTTTTACCAGATCGTTCGTCGTCCGATGTTTGTCGATGACGTCGCACAATGTTTGTATATACCATGATCCTTTCGTTGAACTTCGCCACGAAACATGATCTTTGAATAAAGACAATATAACGTATTAACCAAACGTTAAAATATTGAAGATACCAAAAAAATGTTTCAATGAAACGATGATTAATTAATCATTCTATCAGAAGTTTAATCACTTCTTACCATCAACTGTGCTATAACCGATTAGAAAGTCCGCTTGAGCTGGGAGTTTGTAAGAAGTACTACTGGAATCCGTTTCCGTTTTGCTGCACGGCAACATAGTAACTCCGGGGTCATACTCCGTGCCTCTGCAAGCCTACAAGCGAGTAATCATTATTTGATTTGCGGTTATTAACACCGTCGGTCTCCAATGACCCTCTACTCAGGGCCGGCCCTGAGATTTCGGGGCTCCTATATGACAAAAAAAGTATCTCAAATAAAATTTATAAAATTAACGTTAAAGCTTGTATAACTAATTTCGATTAATATTCAAGTAAACATTACACTTCTTGCATTCTTAGACGCAAAATCGTGTTATGGAGGCCCTGCCACTACTGTCAAATTGAGACATTTAACGTGTTAATATCCTCGATACTAGTTTTACGAGCTATTTTACGTACCTGTATAAAGAAGAGTTTCGGTTTTCCACCTAACGTTTGACACCTATCAGCGGTGAACGGTTTCCATATATATGTCAAAGGATAACTTAAATTCCGCGCACGTATGTTACCATTAGCATCACCATGGGTCAATACAAAGATACAGATGCAACAATGATCCGTATAATCCTCTTGTGTAACTGAGAACACAGAACAGGTGACAAGGTATCTTCAAAGCGTGGATTCAATTTTGTTAACCCTTTGGGTATTTAGAACCAATATTGAAATCTTCAGTTAACGATTTTCATTCGTTCACCTTGTATACTTTTAACAAATATTTTCTTCAACAATAGCAAGAATTATTTTATGTAAAAGATTCAACTTTAAAGCGTTTCGTACTCAAAGGGTTGAATGAACGGATAGAAAATAATTGCTGTTCGTTTTCCTTCGTCAAAGGATCAAAGTTTTCTTGGAATCAAAAGATGAATTAACGAAAGAATAATATTTTCGTTCACTAGATCTCTATAAATTCATGAAAAAATCAAAAGTAACGTACGATTATATATCTCATCGTTGATTTTACTAAATTTTAAATCATCGTGAACTATCACGTTGAAGCCCAATCCAGAGAAAGTCTTTTTTATAGCTGCTACGTCAACCTCAGTTCCTTTACGATTATCACCCAGACCAGGGTCAAAAGTTGAGTGATTAAAGATTACACAATGCGGGCGATGTTTAATGCTCATATTATAGTATAAATTGTCCTTGGCAACAGGTGATTTGATGATAACCGGTAAAACACTGCAACATAATACGAATGCACTTTTTCGATACTTTTATATGATAAAATCACGATATGCAATAATTTAACACATTTACCTTGAAGGTTCCTCATCGTCAGAATTAATCTGGTGGATAACCGCGGTATCAGTGCTCGACTGCTCTATTTTATATTTTTTATTCGAAATCAATTTAGTAAAAATATATAAAACTCTATCCCGACTGAATATGAACAACAAATATAGAGAAACGATCATGTTCACGTCAAATCAATATCTGACTCAGATTTGACACAAATAAGCCATATCCGTGAAATTTATCATGGCTTATCATTATCAATATCGTATCACCGATTATCGTACGTGTTATTTAGTGAGTTTCGCAGTTTCCTGTCTACCGTCTAGTGATGAAAAATGGGCTTTTTTCATAGAGGAACCAGTACAGCGGTTCGAGGACGAAGTTGTTGGAATTCAAGTTTGGAATTGAACTTTTCTCAAATTTTCAAATTTAGTGCCATAGATAGCTTATTAAAATCACTGTTTCATCGTGATAGGGGCATTGCAACATTTAACAACCTGTTGAGTTAATATAAAAAATTATACAAATTTTAACACAATTGGAAATTTTAAAAAATAACCATGGCAAAGATTAGATTTACTTACATATTTTAAGAAAATTGCCGCTTCTTCGTGCCTCCTAAATTAACGACGCAAATCTTGTATATCGTTCGTAGGTATTTGAACAATAGTCATTCCTTAAAAAGAAAGCTTTATTATCTATGTATAGGATTAAGTATATCTTCGGTGTTTCCATCTTACAAAAACCAACAAGTATTATATGTACAATCAATATTTTTTGTGAAAAGTGATTAATGATGACTAATAAATCTTTAGCGTCTCTCGTATAACTGACAATGTTTACTTATTTCGATATTTCAATAGCAATTAACTCGTTATGAAAGATATATTAAACGATATAACGGAAGATATATTCGATTATTTCTTATCGTTTAAATTCGAATTTTATGCCTAATTAAGTTTGTAATATTATACTTATAACATAATATCTTCTGTAATATGATTATTAATGCAGCAAATTCCAATAATATATTAATTTTATTCTTACCGATACTTTCATGAAAGGATCAAACCGATAACAGCACCATCTTATAGGTATCGAATCGGTTTCGATTTTCTTTGGTACTTGCAATACTTAAATTTCGATATATCGCACCTCTTTCGATCATTTATTCGAAATGTTGATTTTGAATGTCATTTTTAAAATTTAAATTTTCTACGCCTGCATCGCTTGTATGCAGCATGTGCAGGCGCACTTGAACAATACGGTAACTGTATTTCCTTTCTCTTCGAATCAAATAAAATACATGTTTTTTAAATTACAAATTTGAATTATTTGTTTCATACAGTAATTACTCGATTTTGTATTATCCAAAAAGCTAATCAGTATCAATAAATATAATAGAATAATGTTAAAACTAAATAAAACCAGTAATAGAATTGAGGTTAGTACAAGCATTCGTCGTAAATATAAATATTGAGAATGTCTTTAAGGAATCATCAATGAAAGTAAATAGAATTAATCTGTCTAATTGTACCAATATTGGGGAATACTAAGAATGGGGAATACCGCTATTTTTTCCGTGTATCCGTCATACTTGGTCATACTGCTTTGAACGCATTTGAACGGTGCAACGTTCGACCAGTAATTTCTTTGTTTCTCTACATAATAGACAAATTACGCAATTTTGATACTCGTGACCGCAAATTAATCAGTCGTATTTGCGTCATTATCCTAGAAATTTGACGTCTAAATTGTATTCATTTCCAGTTGTTTCCAGCAGAAAGTTATTCCGTTCTAGTCGAAGTGCGTTGTATTTATGTACGACTTGTGATTGTTTTTCTCGATTATATCGTAATTTCAATGATTCGTTGACATTTGATCGGTAAATCAATCAGTCGAGTGTAATTGCTGTTTTGAAACGAATAGATAAGGTTTAATTACTCTCACGATATTGAACATGAATGAAAAAAAAAAAGTCGTGTGAAAGTATGCAAAAATGCGCAACTTGCGTGTTGCAATTTCAAATAATATATAAATCAAAGCATAGATTATTTTGCGATTCTATTTCCTATTGAAAATTTATTAGAAACAATGATGAAAGAATGAATTTATTGAATATTTTCATTCTAGATATGAATTCACCTTGTATTTTATGGAAAGGATCCTATGAACACATGTAAAAAGTATTATCTGTTGTGTAAATATAATTGTTTGCAACAAGTTGCTCAAGATGACAAGTAACATTCTGAATCCTTGTAATAATACAAATGTCACACTTGGAATAGATGAAGCCTGTCTTAATATTTTAAATTTGTATTATTATCCTGTCATCTGTTATTCCATAGCATGGGATGCATACTGGGTATGTGTTTATATTCTTTATAGGTAATTTTCAAGTTTTAAATCCTAAATATAATATCAACATCTGTTTATAGGGTACTGGTATGCGAATGGCCAGTTTAGCACCTTCAACTGAAATAAATCTGGTAATATCCACAAAATACCCATTGCACATTTACTATGCAGCAATTGAATCTGCTAGAGTCTATGAATATTGTCAGTAAGCATCTATCCTTACATGCTATAATTATACATATTACTTTTACCTATATACGTATTCATATCTCTTCTAGCACCACATATACCTTCAAAGAACATGGTAGTTATAGATGGAAACTAGTAGGACCTCAATGTCCTGAGATTGAGATTAAACGTGAACCATCAGAAAGCTATTTGCGTAAATTACAATCTTCTTACATGATTTAGTAGAATCATAATTAATAAGAAAGCATTAATAATGCATTACCTTTACAGCAATTTTTGCAGCATTTATGGTATATACTTTATTAGCAATTATATGGACAACATCAAAGGTGATTATAAGAGTAATAAGAGGCAGATTATCACCTGAAAATGTACAAGATGTAAATATATTATAATTTAATTCTTGCTTGTTCTAATAATTTAATGCATATAATTCAGGTAATATTGTTCTTAGGATTTGGTTAGACTTCAGGAAGCAGAAAGCACAACTCATCCAGTAATTAGAACTACAAAAGCTAGTACTAGAATAAGATCAGTGGATACGTTCAGGGGGTACTATCCATTTTCACATCGCATATCTCATGTCTTTTGTTTCATATATGATATTGATTCTATTATTACAGAATTTGTATACTGTTAATGATATTTGTCAACAATGGCGGTGGAAAATATGTTTTCTTTAATCATAGTACATGGTTTGGACTTACTGTAGCAGATTTAGTACTTCCCTGGTGAGTTACTATTTATATTATACTTCATATCTCTCACTAATTAGGTAAATTTATAGGTTTGCATGGATTATGGGTCTGACAATAACAATATCAAAGCGTGCCGAGCTCCGTGTAACAGCTTCGCGCCTAAAAATAACATTACGTTGTGTTCGACGATCGCTAATATTAATATTCCTTGGACTGATATTAAATTCAACGAATTTAATTCAAAAAATTCAATTAAAATCTTTGAGCGATCTTCGTTTTCCTGGAGTACTTCAATTACTAGCTGTATCCTACTTCGTATGCTCCACGCTGGAAACAATTTTCATGAAACCTCATTCACAAGTTTGTACATGATAATGTTTATCATATGAAACTTTTACATTCATCTGATGCATCAACAATAAATAACTCACTAGGATACCTTACTCCAGTTTGGACGTTTCGCTTCGTTCCGAGATATCTTGGATAGTTGGCCCCAGTGGTTGATTATGGCCGGCATTGTAACTACCCATACTCTTATTACGTTCCTTCTGCCTGTACCTGGTTGTCCAAAAGGCTACTTTGGACCTGGAGGAAAGTATGATCATCGAGGAAAATACGTGAATTGTACCGCTGGTGCAGCTGGTTACATAGATAGGACTATTTTTGGAAATCATACGTACTCCAAGACAATGGATCCTATGTATGGCCAAATTTCACGTTACGATCCTGAAGGTACACTTTCAGATACAAAAGAATCATGATTATTACATGTTTTTTTTATAATTCTATCGATATTAGTAACTGTAACTATATTGCAGGATTAATGAATACTATATCAGCAATATTTATTGTTTATCTGGGTGTTCATGCTGGTAAGATTTTATTAATGTATTATCAGTATAATGGTAGAGTGATTAGATGGTTTCTATGGGCAGTATTAACGGTAAGTAATAACACAAACTTTCGTCAACAAGTGAAACAATTTGTACTAATAAAACAAAACACTTAGGGTATTATTGCTGGAATCTTATGTGGTTTTTCCAAGTTTAATGGAGTAATTCCAGTTAGCAAAAAAATGATGACCTTGTCGTTCGATTTGACCTGTTCCAGTTTTGCTTTCTTATTATATGCAATTTTGTACACTCTTGTTGATTACAAACAAGTTTGGGGTGGAGCTCCATTTATTTATGCGGGTACGTATTACTGTGTAAATTGTAAGAGCGTGCAATGCTTACACAACAAATTATATGTCTTACATTTTTTCTTCGTAGGAACAAACCCAATTTTTCTTTATGTGGGTCACATTTTAACAAAAGATTTGTTCCCATGGTCATGGCCCATCCCATGGCCTTCACACGCATCTCTTCTTGCTATGAATTTATGGACGACAACTGTGTGGGCAATAGTCGGGTATCTTCTTTATCGAAAGGACATTATTATGACTATATAAAAACATAAGTACGTATTAAGGTATTATACATTTATGACTACTTCTTGAAATGTAAAGTCGCACTAGTATAAACAAAAGTATATAAAAGAACAGTGCGTTATATTTAATAATGCTGTTAACATTAACGAATATGTAATGATATTGATTTGAGCTTTAAATAATTACTTTAAACGTTGTATTTTATTTTTATAAATAAACATGACAAATAATTTAATCTTGGTTAATGTTTACATAATATAAATATATATCAAAATAGCTTATAGAAACAATCTAGTACAAAATAAATACCATGAATATTTATAAGTTCCTGTCCTTTGGTACTTTGTACGGTAATTCTAAAATTCGAAAAATATCTTCTTCGCACGTAATAGTTTCTGCCTTTCCCGGAGTTCCTACAACGAATACAGTCAAATGTATACGTGTGCGTTCAGTCTTGTACTTTTATACTAATACTTTTATCTACCTTCAGGTGTGAGCCGTTTCAACGAGTACTCATTCAATGTGTACTTCTTTTCTAAGGCATGTGCCCTCATACTTTTATTGAAAAGATCACTTCCAGTGAAATACAATACAGCACAATAATACTGATCATAAGGTGCCAGCCTAATATCAAGTCTTCTATATGGCTTACTGTCATTATTTGGAAGATGACAGACACCCTAAGAATGAAATAATTTTAAAATACAATTGTTTCAATTAAAAAAATTTTTTATAATGTTGATGTACCATAAACTTGGTTGGCCCAAAGGATATTGTATCTGTGATTAATTTCTTTTTTTCAAGACATTCTACAACATCTTTCAAAAGTGAAATCTTTTTCTTTGATTCTTTTTCTTTAGAAGTGTATGTTGGATGCGTTAATAAAACATCAATATCTCCACTTTCCTCTTTACCACGTCTGTAGCTTCCACAAATGGTTACAATATATTGACTACCCAGTTCTGTAATAGCATCTTTCATATTTTTTTCAACTTGTTCAATCTCCTCTCTAGGAATTTTTTTCTCAAAATCTTCAAAATATCTGAGACAAAAATGTTTCTATAGAGAGAATCCATTTTTTATGATTACTTCATTTTGTTTTTTTGCCATACTTAAGGCCAATCTTCTGATGATGATTCAATTTATCCTGATGTTTCTTTAAATCATTCAAACTTTTAATACCAGCATCCACTAACTCTTTTGCTTTTGCAGGTCCAATACCGGATACACGAGTTAACAAATTAATTGCAACATTACTTTCATCCTTATTGATCTAAACAAATGGAAGAGTCAAGAACATATTTTGTTATGAAATGGATTAAAATACATACATCTTCCAATTTCTGTAGTTTTCCAGTACTAAGAAATTCATCAATTTTTTTGGCAATTTTTTCCCCAATCCCAGGTAGCTTTCTTGCTTCCTGGCCATTTTTTATTCTTTCTGATAAACTACTTAAAGTTTCAGCCGCCTTTCGATAAGCGTTATACTTGTATATATTTTTATTTACATTCCTCTCATAATTTGCTAATTCTATAATTTCACATTAATCAGAAATAAAGAAAAACAGAAATTTACAGTTATAAAATTGATGTACTCCATACAATTATACATCAATATCCAAGGTTATAAATGTCAATTGATATGAAAATATTGCCATTAATTAACTTTTAAGAACATTTATGTAGTGACAACGTACCCATTAAAAAATCAGATAAATCTTGATTTGGATTTCCTGCAATATCGCTAGCTTTTCGTTTTCCCATTGTATCAAATAAAGTGTTACGAAATACACGTATAAAAGACTTTAATGCAGTAATTTTCACCAGTTAATTTTCTTATGAAGAGGCAAAATATTCTTAACGAAGCCGGCCGTATGTATGTACGACGTTTCTCTTATAACACGTGCTTATGTGCTCTTGTTTATGTATGTACCTAAACGCATTGAAAGATCACAAACGCAGTAGCACGCGATTGGACGATTTATTTTACACTTCTATTTCAAATGTTATGACGTAATTTCCTATACACGAAATCCTTTCAAATTTAAAAATTTATAATATAAATCAATACGTTCCTTTAACATTTATTTATTCAGAGCAAACGTATACAGTTTCACACATAAATATAAATCATTTCTTCTACGAAGAATTTTAGATCAACAATGTAACACTGTATTTTAATAAATATAGGAATTACAATCTTTTTATTTATATAAACGGGAGAAATATAAATGATTTTTTTTTTTTTACTTCAATTTTATATACATTTATAATAAATGTTATTTTATAAACTATACAGAATATTATTTCAGCCTTGTAATTGAATAAATAATGAAATGAATTTACTAAGAAGCAAGTCGTTAATGTCTGAACATTATAATAGGATATTCAGGAACATGTTCTAAAAATATTTTTATTGACGGTAGCTTGTTTTAATTTGTTTGTTTCAATACTTTCTGTTCGAGTATTTTGAAATTCATCGCAATATTAAAGTATATTTGAAAGCGCACTCTGAGATGAATTTAAATGGTCCGTCAGAACGGTTTGTCTCACAAAAGGTAGATTTACGGCGTTCGGGCGAAACATATTAAATAACCATCACATCATCCCTTTCAACACTTGACATAGATGGTAACAGAATCACATATATTGGACGGATCTTTGTACCTCATTTCTAATGTCAAGTTATCATTTCGCATTTCATTTCATATTTGATTAACTGTTACATTGAAAAGGCGCAACTATAAGCTCCATGATTCATTATGCAATTACTAGAAATATAAATATAAGTACTGAGTGCAAATACTGAAGACTAAAATAAACACTCCAACTAAGATGTAAATCCATAATTGGGGAAATCTCTCTGGTAACCATAAAATCGTAAATTCTACTATTTTCTCTTGAGTATCTAAAAGTAAAAAAAAAAAATTTAGTAAGAAGTATCTTGTAATTTTATGTACAATGTATAACATATAATATTACATTTTCCTTACCAATATAAGCTAAACCGTAACCTATGTGAGGGGTACCCATTCTATACGAACAAGTAGGTATTTGCACTTCGTGTATATCACCTACATCCATTCTTAACTGATATAATGGCATTTCATTAGGAGGTAAAATCCAAATTTCACTTAATTGGTCTGTTGCTGTATCCAAACTGATATGCATGGCTTTGTGTTCATGAGCAGTAAAAATAATTTGCGGTGATAATTCTTTTAGTACCTGTTACGAGATAAATATTAATCAAAACTAAAAGCAGAACTAAATTTTAGTAAATATACAAAGGCAACATACATTCTGGACAAAAGTACCAGGCATGAATAATAGGGGCATATGGCTAAGTACTACATTTGTTGTATTTCTTTCTGCATAATCATTGAGAAAGGCATCTTTTGGGGCTTCTGGCATTGAATGAGTTAATCTGTTTACCTGGTAAGTAAAATAAATATATTCTGATGTGCTAATATAGATTAAGAAATAGTTAATGAATGCTTTGTTGCTTTGTTACCTTAAAAAATGTTACTGTTTTATAAACTAAAGTATCTGGTTGGGTATATGCAAAATTAAATCTGTTATGAATGTTAGTTGAAACTGAATCCTCTTCACCTCCAATATCATTATCACCTGGTAGATAAATTTTCTGACCAAAAAATAATATAATATAGATAATGACATTCGTTAAAATAGGTACTTTTAAAATAGCTACAACTGTACCATTATATGATCAGGCATTTCAAAGATAGAATCCAATCTCTTCTTGTAAGCTTTGAAATTTTCTGCAGAAGCAATATGACCTTCATCCATAAGATCTCCCAAAAATACAACAACATGAGGATTAGAATGACTCAAAGCTCTTGAGAATGTATTCTTCAAGTACCTGGAAATAAGACACTGTGGAACAAAATTCAGATCAATGTATACATTGATTGAAAAAAAGATAGTATGTTGAGAAAGTTAACAATTTAATAGACAAAACAGCTGTGTTATTCATACTTGTCACTATCCCATTGTGCTATCCATGAACCAAAATAATTTTCATGTTTTTCACCCAGTATTTGTGGATCTGCGACAACCAGTACTTTCACACACTCTGAGCATTCCCGTAAGGACCATTTTAACCGTTGTATTTCATAGATTAAAAATTCATTATAAATTATAGTTGCCAGTACTATGAGACCAATCACAGTTGCTCTATTCTTGAATCTGGATAACGTGATACATGAAAAATAGTTTATTAGTGTTTTGGTGTTTCTAATATTTAATAAGGCAATTAACTAAAAATAGTATACATTTCATTGATTACACAACAAGTTCACTTTACCTATTTCGTCGTAACATTTCTAAGATTTCTAAAATCGATTGATAACATTGGTTATCTTAAGATCAAAATAGATTAGTACATTTTTCTAGCATAACGTTTGAAGTGTAAAGAATTGTTGACACGATCTCATTTTTCTTTGGCACGCAGTAATCTAATTAACCAAAGGTTATACAACCCTGAGAAGTTGATTTGTTGATTTCATGCTTGTGACTTTCTCGTTAAATGATTTGAGAAATTTCACAAGAACCAAACATTTGGTTTGGAATTCCATATATTGTTGAGAAAAATGAAATGACACACTTGTGTTTCGTTCGAATCATGCTTTGTTTGAAAGAAATCGATATTTTAAAAATGCTGCGCAATTCACTATAGATGGAGGCAGTGATATGATTCATTGTTCAGTTATTTGTTATTAGTGTTTTAAAAATTGAAGTTTGACTAACAAGTATATATAAAAAAGGGTATAAACATAGTTTATATTTTATAAAAATCAAATAACAAACTTTTTAAATATTTCTAATAGTTTATATAATTATTTTCCATATATATTTGTTAATTTTCTTTATAAAATATACGTGCAATAGTTATATTTTATAAGATATAATAACTCTAATATCTAGAACGCATACGTATACACGATATGTATAATTTTTTAAATTTTATGATTCAAAAACATGAATACAACTTCACGTGATACTTTGAAAGAAAAATTTTCGTCATTTCCGGTTTGTGTTCCTCCTACGGTTTAGTTACTTTTGCGTATAATGTATGCCGTGGAGAATTTCATGGCCGTTTTAGTCGCGTTGCATCAGCGAGTGCAATGTTCAGCTATTTTCAGGAATTTCGCTGTAGCGAATATCGTTTCGTTAACCAGTGATTTGCATGCAGAAAATGGCCGAGTCGGAGCAGAGAAATAAAGAGAATTGTATAACAGGATCGAAAGAAACGATGGTGAAGCAAGAAAAACGTGAGAACACGTTGACAAATGGCGGGAAGGGATCGGGCGATGACGCGGACAGTCTCGAAGAATTGCCTCTCGATATAGGCGAACACTATCTTGTTCGCAGATCCGACGACTCTTGGCGTAAATATATTAATAACATGTTCATGATTATTTTTCTTTCATTTCTATGCTTAGAAGCGTCCAAAATTATGGAACAATTATCCGCGCGCTTTTTTTCGCGGTTTTACATTTGTATTTATATTGCCGGCTTTGCCTTGATAAACCATACTTGTTTTGAAAACATTACGATGTCATGTATGATTCATTATAACATCACTTTATACACAGAATGGACGTTGGTAATAAAGAAGATAGAATATTTTTCTTCCACTTTTAATTGTCATTTTACAAAAAATAATTGATATTATGTAAAAAATTAAGAATCCGTGAGCGTGAAGCGTATAAATACAAGTGTATATATATATTTTTTAAAAATTTTTTCTGCAGATCCAGCAGAGATTATCCAAACCCGATATAATGAAAGTGAAAGTCATTATGAATATTATGTACACTATGAGGGGCATAATAGAAGATTGGATGAATGGGTACCAAGAGATAGAATTATGTCTAGTAGATTTGACATGAGTGACAGAAGCTGGAAAAGTGGAGACAGAAACTCTGGTACTGATTTACTAGCAGATTCATCGGACCGTAAAATTACAAGAAATCAAAAGAGGAGACACGATGAGATTAATCATATTCAAAAAGTATGTATTTTAAAGATGGTTTTGTAAAATTAAGGATATATATTTGCTAATATAAATTATTTTTTCTAATAGACTTATGCAGAAATGGATCCTACAACTGCTGCTTTAGAAAAGGAGCATGAGGCAATAACAAAAGTCAAGTATATTGATAAAATTCAAATTGGTAAGTATTAGCATGCATCTTTTGCCATTAAACTCTCTATGTGAAAAGGGTCTCATTATTTTCAAAAGTTCTCTTCTAGGCAAGTATGAAATTGATACTTGGTACTTCAGTCCTTACCCAGAGGAATATGGCAAACAACCTAAATTATGGATTTGTGAATATTGTTTAAAGTACATGCGTCTTGAAAAGACATACAGATATCACATGGTAAGAAAATTTGGTCTTGTTGATGTGTTTTAATTTTTGATAATTAGAATAATTATTTATACTTATGTGCTTTGGTTTCAGAGTGAATGTACTCACAGACAGCCAGTTGGAAAAGAAATATACCGCAAAGGCACATTAAGCATTTGGGAAGTAGATGGTAGAGAACATAAAATTTACTGCCAAAACTTATGTTTGTTAGCAAAGTTATTTTTGGATCATAAAACTCTTTACTTTGACGTCGAACCGTTTCTATTTTATATTCTTTGCGAGGTTGATAAACATGGAGCTCATTTAGTTGGCTATTTTTCAAAGGTATCTTTCTTTAACTTATAATTAGATCTTCAACTTGCAGTTTTTTATTTTTTGGATTTTATTCATTTTCAGGAAAAAGAATCTCCTGATGGCAACAATGTTGCCTGTATTTTAACTTTACCACCGTTTCAAAGGCAGGGATATGGAAAGCTTCTAATTGCTTTCAGTTATGAATTAAGCAGAATAGAACAGACTGTTGGTAGTCCTGAAAAGCCATTGAGTGACTTAGGAAAATTATCGTACAGAAGCTATTGGAGCTGGATTCTTTTAGAAATCCTTAGAGATTTTCGTGGAACTCTTAGCATAAAGGATTTGAGGTAACAGTACATAAAATAAAATCATATAAAGGACAAAAATTAAACAAATGTAATAAAACTGAGTGATTGTTTTATGTATAATGTGCAGTCAGATGACAAGTATCTCACAAACGGACATTATATCGACGCTGCAAAGTATGAATATGGTTAAATACTGGAAGGGACAACATGTAATCTGCGTAACACCTAAACTAGTCGAAGAACACATTAAAAGTAGTCAGTATAAAAGACCAAGACTAACAGTGGATAGCAGTGCGCTCAGATGGGGCGCTCCACCTCGGAAAAACGTGAAACCTGGCAAGAAGTAGCAGGAATTGATGGGAATGGTTTTCATTCAATGGTTTTTCTCATCGTGAGATTCACGATTTAACGTGTTTAACAAACACTTGGCAAGGAGTTCTACACGATAGTTTGCAACGACGTTCTCGAGTTTGTTAAACGACCTCTTAATGATGCATTACAGTCTCCACTAGTATGCATAGTAACGTGTCAAATCTCAAACCTGTTTGGAAGATAACACGAATGAGCACGTTGATTTATAGCTTCGTTACTGTTCCGGAGCGTAGAGATAACGAGAGATGTTTCAAGAGTTTTCTTATAGTTCTGCTCTTTTTTTTTGCAGTATGCTATAAAAGAGAAGTGGGATATACAGTGACACAAAATACCATGTATTTATTGATAACGAAAGGATTATTTTACCTTTATTTGATATTTTTGACTTGAACGCGCAACTACAGTCTGAAAATATAAACATACGTTGTACGTAATGAGCGTCAATAATACCACGCAGTATTAGTCCGTATTAACGATTTGCTTGTGTAAATTCGTTAATAATAAACAAATGTAATTAAGTTAATAATTTCAGTTAATATTACATTGAAACTATTAAAAATTCAAAGTTTTGCAACAGAAGACTTATGCATTTCCTTCGCCAAATGAATGGCATATTTAGTAGTACCAGGAGCAGTGCATACTCCATATCCTCCGTGTCCATAATTGTGCACCAGCTGTAACACAAAATACTTGGTCAATAATGGAATCTTAACAGATTCATCGAAATAAATTTGTCTGAAACGAACAATAGCTTTAGAATCTTCATTTGTAATCCATTCAGCTTCTACTCTCACGTTCTGCGTTCTGTGAGGCCTCAATCCAACCTCTTCTCTTAAAAGTTCTGCTTTCTTAAGAGCTGGAACAACGTTCTCGCATCTCTCCCGAATTGCTGCAGATTCGTAAGGACAAACTTTCATATTTTCAGAATCAAAGTTTCTTGAACCACCAAGAGTAACGACACCGTTAAAGCCAGGTATAATATATGTATCTACTTCCCCATAGAAGAATGTTTTCATCCATGGTGCTTTTACCTATATATATTTTTTTTTTAAGGTTTACAAATACAGCTACACGTAGTACGAAACAAATTCTGTGCTAAAAGAAACATACTTTGAGTACTTGACCTCTCATAGAAACCAAGTGTCTATCGTTACACAGAGACCTTGCTCCTAAACCTGTACAATTAAAAATCAAATTCCAATTGAAGGTAAGTTCTTTTAAGGAGTTCAGCTTCCTAACTATGAGTTTGGTTCCATTATCTTGTAGCCTGTAAGGATACGTGTTCTTAACGATTATTTTAAATAACAATATCATTCTATAAAGTAATTTTGTTACTGTTTCCGAGCCCATGGAAGATGCAGTTTACATTCAGTAAGGAGAGTTGTGAAAAACGATCCGTATTTCCAAACACCTCCAACTAAATTAAATTCTTCCTCTGTAGCTCTCCTGTATATTGGTACTAAATCTTCAATCCAGTGACTCTACGATGAAACAGAAAAAATATAAAAATAAGTTGCATTTATTTTTGAAAAGAACGAACCTTAACCGTTTCCGGAGAAGAATTGGCGAACATGTAACCGGAAATTGCTGTTATACCAGCAAGTGGAGCTTCTTCAGTTTTTCGAATGTTATCATAATACTCGTAAGAGTTTTGTATCCATTCCCTAAAAAAGTTTATTTGAAAAGTACAAACGTTTAACTAGAATTAGATAAAAGGTGTTATCTATATATGTACTTTGTTATCTTCTCAGTAGGTCCAGAGTACGAGGAGCCAATTCTGAATAGTCCGGCAGCAACATGACTGACAGTATTATCAAAATCAGTAGCGAAAACTGTAACTTGAGCGTTACGTAATTCATTTTGCAACTGCAACGCTGTTGTCAAACCAACTATTCCGCCTCCGACAATGGCTACTTTCATTTTCTTTTTTCCACAGTTGACAAAAAACGTTTCAAAATTCCAATCGATTAAAGTAAATATAGACGAACGATACAACACTTGTTAATATTTAACTCGTGTGAGCTACACGCTTAAAGATTATTTCCGCGTTAACAAACAACTCTTATCTACATTGAACGAACTGCTTTTACCGACCTTACTGATTCGTCGTCGACGTAACTTATGGTTTGAAATGAAACACGAGCTTTATTAAAAGAATTATGTTTTATTTGTTATAAATTGGTATCTTTGAAAACGTTGTGGGAATTCAGATAATATGGGCAGTTGAACGTTTCTTACTACAAGACAAGAAGTATCGTTTTCTTTGCCGCGGAGTAAAATGAAATGATTAATCACTAAACAATGATTGTTTCCAGGATTATGTACAACGAATGTAAGAATTTTGAGAGAATGGTTGGCCTTATGTTTGCCAACTAAATATGAAATTTTGTCCTAGTCGCATCTATACCCGCGTATATACAACTTCTGTTTTTGTAAATAAAATGAGCTTGAATAATTCGAAAAGAAACAACAGAGAGAAAAATTGCATCAAGACCCATTTTAAACTATGCCTAAGTTGAAGACAATCGGCATCTATTACATTGAACTACAAAATTAAAATATACAATAATAAAATTCACCTCTTACAAATACCTTACATCTTCAACAATGTAATTACTATTAACAAACTTGATATTTAAGTTCTCAAGTCTCTTGTATAAATTACATTCGTGTCAAGTATTTCAATTTTCCATTGTATCTGATCTCCGTTCGTGTTCTTCTTCGTATCGAAAAATATATAAACGCAACGCGAATTTGTCAAGACGTGGACGCAATGGAACACTTGCACACACATACACACACACACGAATTCTTATTTTATTTCGAGAGCGACAATAACCGCGTCGCGAAGAACAAAGCTATTTACAAACAGAGCAACCCCAGTCGATGAAATAATACATTATTTTTGCCTAAAGTAAGGTTCAATGATTTCGCATCACTGTGAAATCATCTGTGAAGCCTTTGGCGTGTAACAGGCTGCTCACGTGTTTCTTTTCTTCCTCAAAAAAAAAAAAAAAAAAAAAAAAGAAACAAACGTTCGCGTATCGTTCATTTAATAAACTTAATCTAGAACATTCTACACGGTAGTAGAATGATTTATCTAAAATATAAAAAATGACACCTTACGCCTTGCTACAGGGTTGTATGGTATAGTTCAGAGGGGGAGGAGGAACTAAAAGAGGCAATGGCGTAGGTGGTGGTGGAGCTTGAACGGTACTAGAAGTTGCAGGTGTCGTCGATTGAGCTTCACTGGTACGAACAGTAGAATTGTATGCAGAAAGATAGCTTGGCCAGAGATGCGGAGGTGGAGGAGAACCAGGGGGCGGTGGTGGTGGTGAACGATCATCTAATTCGTCAGAGTCGTCCATCATCATCGCCGTTAATGGAGTCACACGAGGCTTCTTCAATTTTATAATCTTTACCTATTAGAATATAATTCGTTAGGCTTCAAAAATATATAAAATCATAAGAGAATAACTAACCTTCACTTTTTTCTTTGCTTTAGGAGGTCGTGCTCGTTTCTCTTGTTTTCTGCTCTTCCTAGAACTTGTTCTTCGAATATCACGGGTAACCGTTGACGTAGGAGGTGGAGGAGAAGGCATATCACCTTCGCCACCACTAGGACTAGTACCTTCTCCGGGTTTAATTCCATCCGCAAATTGCACGGACTTTTTGTTTCTCTGTTTCCACTTACTCAACTTCGTTGATTTTGATCTCGTCTTGACTTGAGCTTTCAGTTTGCTCGACTTAATTTCGCTGACTTCATTTTTGTTGAATTCAGTATTTTTATCCGTTTCTGTACTCTCTTTGTCTGTGTTATCGTCGCTTTCATTTTCAGGAGTAGAAAATTCGTCCAAATTGCCGTTAGGAATCGAGGTTCTCCTGAAGGATAAATATAAAGCAATTATTTAAATAACAATATAAAGAAAGGAGCTTGTAAAGGTACAAATGATTATATACCTGAAACCTGATGCAACTAAGATTCCTTTTAAAGGTGCCGGCGGTAACTCTACCCACTCTTTGGACTCTGTTTCAACTTGAACCTTACTTATTTCGATTGTTGCGTTAACAATTTCATCGACTTCATTTCGCCGACTATTTACTCGTAACGAAGATTTCTCTTCGTCCTCCTCCTCTTCCTCTTCATCTTCTTCGGCTTCCTCTTCGTCTTCCTCGTCATCGTCCACTTCAGCCTCTTCCTCTTCCTCCTCCTCCTCCTCGTCCTCGTCAACTGGTACTTCTTCCTCCGCAGAGACAATAACAGGAGCAGCAACTGGTGTTTCTTCTTCTTTCTCGGTAATCGTGGAAGAAGATTGTTCTTCCGCCTCAACTTGCTCTTCGCTTTCTCTAAGAGCTTTCAGAACAGACGGATCTAGACTCGAAGTCTTTTGTTGACTCGCATTTTCTGCCTGACGCATATTGTTTTTCTCTAGCAGACGTAAAGCTCGTCGATTAATTCGTTCTATTCGTCTACGTTCTTTCTCTTTTCGCTTAATTTCACGCTGCCGTTTACGTTCCTCCCGTTCCTTTCGACGAGTCTCCAGAATTGCTTCGTAATTATATACCGGTTGAGCTGGCACTTCTATACAATAATTATTCCAATAGTTATTCTTTAGTTACTGTTATAAACTATTATAATAGTTCCTGTACAAAATGATACATTTGCTTACTTTGAGGTGTTATCTCCGTTCTTGGGAACGTCGTCTGCGTCACTGGAAGCGGAACAGGACCGGGACCAGGAACTGGTACAGGAACGGAGATAGGTAATGGAACTGGGGATAATGTAGAAACAGGGGTAGAGGAAGCCATCGGGGGTGGAACTGCCGGCACTGGCATAGGGACAGGAACTGGAACAGGTACGGATATAGGGACTGAAGGAACCGGTGAAGGTTGCGGGACTGATGCGGAGTACATCATTCCTCCTGACTGATCAACCGTTGATGACGATTGTCCACCGCTCCAGTCCAATGACGTCGGTACAACTTGAAGAACATTACCTACGCGGACTACTTGACTAGAACCTCGTACGATCGGAGGTGTGGGAGTTGCAGCTGGTTCTCTACGTGTTGCTGGTACTCCATTGAAGTCTGCAGGCACCACTTGTAACACGTTGCCCACCTGTTGAAGATTCAATTTCTTGATGTTCTATATGTATGCCTAGGGGATAAACTTGAACATAATTGACTTACTTGTAAGACGGTAGGTTGTTGACGATACATCATCTGCTGCTGTTGTTGAGTTGGTGATGGATAACACACATTAGAATTAAAGTTCTCCCCATAATCATTCGACAGCCCTGCGTTATCTTGTTGCTTTTTAATTCCTAACTCGAGTTCCAACCTACAGTAAACAATCAATTTGCAAATTAAATGTTAAAAACAGTTAGGATCAGGATTACAAACACGAAAGGAATTAAAAATACCTATCGTCAAGGGATAACCGTTTCGGTGAACTCGTAGTCGAGTCGTCGATACACGGAGGATAGGTCAAATTATTTTCAGTATAGTAGTACTCGTTTCCAATTTCAGTCTCGTTAGAATATTGAAAACCTGAAGCAACAGACTCCATATTGTCACCGATGTGCATTTCCGTATCTAACACGTTCGAGTCCCTAGGTAGACCGGACTGTACAATTGTCTCGATGCGTCTACCCCTTTCAGCACAATTATCCAGTTTCATACTATCGTGTTCATCCTTCCTGTCCCTTGAACCTTCGCTAATTCTACCTCGTCCCAATGAGGGTGATCTAAATTAATAGCGAAATTATTTACCATCCAAAAGAAGTAACAACAATAATAAAGTAAAATTCCTATTTACCTGGACGATCTTAATCGTTCAGTCATCCTCAAATGATCCGGGCTTCTCATTCCAGACCTTGAAGTGGATCTGGTTCTGGATCGCGATCCCGATCTAGATCTAGATCTTGACCGTAACATGGATCGCGACCTCGACGTTGATCGAGAACGCGATCGAGTTCTTGATCTAGATCTAGATCTGGACTTGGATCGTGATCTCGACTTTGACCAGGACCTAGACCGTGATCTAGATCCGCGTCTGAACCGATCGTGTGATGATCTAGGCGAAGATCGTCTTGGTCGCGGTGATGAATGACCTCTCGACGATTTCTCTGTTCTTCGAACATGTCCGTGTCTATCAAAATCTAACGGTTCTCTATCCTTTTCCCATTGTCTGTCCCTTCTCACGGTGGATCTATTTTTTCTTCCATGTTTGAATTTTGACGAAGATCGAAGAGGACCTTCCATGATGTCCCTTTCGATACTGTCCTCTCTATAATACATTTTTTCCTCATAATCAAGATCTAAATCTTGACCTCCATTGGAATAAGAATCTATGGATTCGTTTCCATCACGCAGCATGTTTTCTGATTCGTATGGCCAGAATGATCTATCCGTTTCATCCCCGCGGAATCTGGCCTCCCTGTGTCTATCAGATTCTACGTTTCTTTCTCTTAACACATCTACCAACTCGTACGATCTTCCTTCTTTCTCTCTTTCCACGCTATCATATTTCCTTCTGTTCCAGTCATCGCGATCGCCTTTAGTAGATCCATGCTTTTTAAAATGATCTGCAAATATAAAATCTTAAATGAGTTACATTAAAATTAAATAATGTATTTAAAGGAGGTACCTTTGTTGTATGGAGCAGCACTGAAATGGGATGGGCTTCTCGTTGATTTTTCCCTTCTATCGTCTGGCCTAAATCTACCAGCCCTTTCTTCGTCAATTCTACTCGATCGCTTTTCCCTACTGGAAGAACCGAACGATTCATCCTTCCTCTTTGGACTTTTACTTCTACTTCTGCTCCAACTACGACTTTGACTCTCGCTACGGCTTCTCTCTTGTTCCCACGATGTGTGCGGACTCATGCTTCTTCTTCGTTTCCGACTACCCGAAGGACTGGACCTTCTTCTTTCATTGTATTCTTGTCTGGAGCCTCTACCGTCCTTTCTATCACTCTTTTCCCTATCATCATATTTCTTATCCCTTTTCTCTTTACCACGATCAGTTATTCGTTTATCCTCCCTATTTTCTTTTCTACTTGGAC